GACTGTTGGTTGGTCTTCAACTGCTTTCAACTGAACTGAACTGACTCCTTTGAACGGCTAGCGGTTCTGGTTTTATTCGCCTCAGAAGTAGCGAGCCCCAACGGTGATTTCAGGAACTACTTCCGTGTTCAGCGGTCTCCAGCGGCCGGCGTCGTAGGTTAGTGGCTGTTATCGGGATTGACCTTTGTCCCCGAACCCGCTTATTGTCCGCGCTGCTAACACCTTTTGCTTGTTAACGGTTGTAAATATCAACTTAGAGCCGGTAAAAATTTACAACCGTTACAACATGCCTAGAATCGAATAAATATACGACTAGCTAACCGGAAACTTTGGTTGGATTGAGTTATAAAACTAATTAACTCGTACGACAACACTATTGGATTTCACTGAACAAATTGCCCACTAGTCAACGTTTGCAGTCATCAAACGGAAATTTTGATTTGGACTAAGTTTAATTTGTAGCATTTGCATTCGAGTCAAGCTATGTGTGTTTGCAATGTTTATGTCATGATTTTAGAAATATGTATCATTATGTACTATGTTATTAAACATGCAATAAGGAGAATTCATTTTATTTAACTATAGTTATGAAGAGAATAAGAACGAAGGTATCTAATAAAGTTAGTAGGCCTACGTATAAATAAATCACTAAGAAGTTCTCATGAAAAAATCAAAAAGAATTCTTACCAAGAAAGAACATAAGCCAACGAGACATTGACCTTATAAAGTTCAAAGTATCTGAACTCGCAGATCAGAGCAGTTAAAACTTGCAAAGTATTTAAAATTTTCAATAAATAGTAAGTATTTTTAATTAGATAATCTTTGCGAAAATTGGATAAAGTTTACCAAAGTTTCCTCCTTCAACTAAAAGCTGAATTCATATAATTGATTTACTCCACAGTTCTCAATAGGGTGGTTTTTAAGTTTACAACTTTATTATTTGAAAAATATTCTAGGGTGTTTTTGAAGAAAAATATAAATATACCGTTTGGACATAATTAAAGAATATCAAACAAACTATCTAAAGTAGCAAGACATAATAATGGTATCGCATTCCAGCTTCAAAATGTGTGCAAAAAATAAAATTCTAATAATTCGATTGCAGCAATGTAAACAGCTGATCTAAGATTTTGTGATAATTATAACAAAATAAACAGCTGGAGGCAGAAAGTAGCATGTGAAACAGCCATCGTGCTACAACATCGCTTCTGTGAGAATGTAAATTAAAGCCTACAGGTTAACTTTCACCGGTCAGGTTGTTAGTGTAGATTTATTTCCTGTACAAAACGATACCTAAATCGTCACGAAAAACTATTCTAAACTAGATCAAGCGAGTGACAAATTTATATCCGTGAAGCAAATATATGAACTTGAATGGTTAATTGTTTACCGGCCTGAGAGCGATTTGAATTTCAAATGGGCCGGAGGAATGTTATGAAGCTGCGCGCTTCTTCTTTTAAACATCCAAGGGATTTCATTTTGCTTTATCTCTCCAGAAAAACATGCTTATTGCAAAATGCTCCGTTAAATGAGCAGCTATGAGTTTTATAAACAGTATTCCATCATTTTGATACTGACCGAGAAGTACATAATTTGTTAACGACATGGTTTGTAAGTTAGGTCATCAATCCAGTTAGTAATATGATTGATAAATGTGTGTGAAATGGACTGTGGTGACAGGGATTGCGTTCTCCTTATTTAAAAAAGGTGAGAGATGTCCAAACAGATTATATAACGAAAAGTATATGTTTGACTACATATTTCCTTGTGAGTAAACTTTTCTGTTTATATTGAAAGCAGTAATATTATATCATCATTTTTGAGGACTTCTCGTTATCCACAAATGAACCTTTATTTTGTCCTTTTTACCTTTATTTAGATATAAAATGAACAGTAATGAGTTAAAATAATATACATTAGTTATCATCAACAAAGTTTTAAGTAGTCTAAATGTTCTATTTCTTGTTGGCCAAAAGTTCCTTCAGAACCTAAAATCATATCTGCAAACTTGATAAAAGGGGGTTTCAAGATGTATTGAAAAATTATGAAAGTAGATTGGTAGAAGGCGTTGGTAAACGATTAGTTTGTTCCGAATTAAGAAAGGCGTGGTCTTAAAACAAACAACTAATATTGTGCGAAAACATTATAATCATTATACGAAAGAATATTAAAAATTGTCCAAATAACACTGATTTATATTTTTAAGAATACATTGACACACTGACACACAAAAAAAATATTTTTTAGGCGTAATGTATTTAATAGGAATATTCTAAACTAATTTAGCTTAAAATATTGATTTCATTAGTAGTCTAGATATGAAATAAAAATATGCACAAACTTTATTTGCCTTCTATTGAGAACGTTATGGATTTTTAAACAATCTCTTTGGAAAACAAAATTTGTTGAAAAAAATACTGAAAACCCCTGTAAACTTCATAAACAACGTTTTTTTTATTTTCCAATGTGAATTCACTATATTATGTGTCACACAAGTTACTAATGTGCACATACGCAAAGTTAACAGTACATTAACTTACAAAGAGCCAAGTTGATGTCTTCGTCACCATCCAGTAATGCATTTCATGTTAGCCCTATGATACCTTAGACCACGCACTGATAAATTCAATACAAATATGTCTCGGTTATTCAATACTAAATAGAGTTAACGTCATACGATAGCGTAAAGCTTAGTACAGCGTATGTGTATATGTTTAGAGTGTGGGAAGGTTATCTTTGCCATTATGACTATTCATATTTGTATTTTACACATGCTATTTTCGTATTATTTTAATTAATAATAAATAATTTTCACGAATTAATAATATCTCAGAAAATGTTTACAGTACTTATTAGCTGGAGATTTTTTTGTCAGAGTTTCTCCTAAAATTTGAAATCAATCAAGAAATGTTGGTGTCGTCGGATGAGAGTGTAGGCGTTACAATTAATTCACCATTTGGGTACATTAGTTCAGAAAAATTTAGAAACTGCCATATTAGTTTTTTACTTTGTTCATTTGTATTGAGATGTGGTTCATTTACAAAACCGCGGCGGGTCGCTGGCGGGCAACCGCGGTGAATAAAAGGGGCCTTTATTGTGGTGTTGGCGGACCAATTGACAAATAAAAATGTTAAATCACTTTTGGCCCCCTTGTGGCCAATTAAATCATCGTCTCGTTCTAGTCATAATATATAGCATACAGGAATAAAACCGCGATTCAAGTAATTCATGGTTTATCAATATACTCTATTCATGACTTTATAACATATCCATTCAAACACTGGCAAATAAATAACAAATTAAACGCGTGCATACAATATTCGAGACATTGTATTGTGCAATGATGATTCACTAAACGGAATAAATCAAAACAGATAAACAGAGAGTGTGCCATAAATATAAGACTCAGAAAGAGTTTTAGATGTCAACGACGCATTATTCCAACACATGCAGATGAAACTAAGGCATTTTTTGACATCATTTTCGGATGTTTATATCATGTAAAGCCAAATAATATCTCAAATTAAATTCCGCCCCCGGAGACCAATATTTTGGTATCATTATGATTGACCAACAATCAAATCAAGTCAAATAATCATTTAGAATTTATTCTGAATATCACTAGTAAGTCAGGACGTAAGGAAAACCAATTTTCACAACTTTTAGTCTTAATGTACATTAAAATCACAGCAACAACACGCGGAATCATTGACAGACGATTTGCATAAATACAAACTCGATGAACGTATGACTAATGGATCTACGTTCCAATCTTCCATTCGTTATCATATACATATATTTTACATATTTTGGAATATATTACTTACTGAATACTAATTAAAATGAACTAAACGTGAGCCTGTAACTTTGAGTCAAAAAACATGTTTGATATCAAAATCCTCATTCCTTCACAGTTGTTAAACCAATAACAATGATTTGTATACACTATAAACGAAGGGTGGATAAAAGTTGTACTGGGAAATAATTAAGTTGTTTCCATCAGTTTGGTCTAATTATCATCCAATTTACAACACTGAAGTTTTGACGTGTGTTCATGTGCTTGAGTGCACTGATGTAGACATAATGTTGGACACCTATATATGTTTTCAAAATTTCACAGAATTGTCAGAACTTTTTTCATTTCAAAAACTAGAGGACAAGTAAGACACTTAGGTAAATAATTACTGTATGTCAGAAACAGTTTTAATTCAAAAACAAGAATTAAAAGTTTGTATCAAATCGCATTCTATACTGAAAATATATGTGATGACAGTTGACATAAAACTAGTGGTGTTAAATTTACGAGAATGTAAGTTTAATTTACGGTATGCTAATTTAGGATAATTTACGTTATAGCAAATTTATACCAATATAAAAATTTATGTAGGCCTAAGGGCGTTAAAATAAAACCTCCACAGCTTGAAATGAACGCTCTAGACGCGATTCTCGCAGCAATAAATATTTGTAAATACAATTCAAAACCTGTTACGAACCCTACTTCTCAGTTTCGCATGTAATTTTCGTTATTTAAATTAGAACAGTATCAAAATTGGACACGATTCTAGCATATCTTGGTTCTTAACGATTTCGAACATGCGAAATGCTAACATTTAGTTTAGATTTGATGTGAAACAATATTTCCCGGGCTCGCACCGTTTGCTGCGTAAGCGACTGCGTATACACCTAGGATCTACAGGTGGTTCAAAATCTACTCAAGAATTTAAACATTACTACAAACGTTACTAAATAATCAAACCCCGCACCTAGTAAAATCCTCTACACAAATAATTTTGCAGGTATTTAAAAACTCCATTCTAAAGTGATATTTAAAAGTAAACATCCTCTAAAATTACACTTCAAGCACAACACAACTATACGAGAGTAAACAATATCACAATTATGACATTTGTAACAAACGCGATTGATTGTAACAAATGTGATTTGAGTGAGGAGTAGGTCACTACGATGTTTACTAGAGTGAAAATGAAAGTAGAATTTACCTTGTCTCGTCGAACAGAGGTCCCCACTGCCGGGCTATCGACTGAGCCTCAGGTCGGGCGAGTGTGGGGGGGATATAGGGGGGCTATAGTAGGGGGGCAGGGGGTCTCACCACCCATCTCCTCACAAGTGGAGAGCCGCCTGCTCAATGAGAACTGGAGTACAAACTACCAAATAAGTAATGACAGGCGATTCAAGTCTTCAACTACCTGATAAGTTGAAGGATAAAGAAATCGTGTTGCAGGAGTATTAACTCGGTTCACTTCAACGAAATTTCATTTCATATCGTACAATTATCACTCGAACTGGTACACTGGTATTGTTTGTACTAAATCCACGCACTGGATAATATGTAAACTATTTTTATTGAATAAACTAAAAAATGAACTGCCTTGTTTAATAATTTGTAATGAACAACTAGAAGAATATAAAATGTAAACATTGAAACAATAAACATCTGTCTTGACCACTATTGGAAATTATACATACTAACTTAGCCATATGTTGTCAAGACAGATTCAGGGATATGACAATAAATCAAGTGACTTGGTAGGTAAAGATACTTTGGATTACAACACAGACTAGTAACATCTACTATGAAACTATATTTAGTCCATTGTATATAACAGTGTATAGGAGGGGGGGGGGGGTTGATGGTGAAAACAATATTTTATTTTAATAGATTGTTTTTAAATTATGTTTGTCACGATGAATTCACGAGAAGTTTTCTTAGTAGTATTATTTATTTATTAATTCTACAAATGCTACATGTGCAAAAGCATTTTATTTTATTCAGATAACTGGTTTAATATCTAAAATTAGTGGTTATTTCCTATAAGATACTGTAATTCAGAATTAGATTGTGTATTGAAAACTAAATCAGCTACTGACAGCAAATAAAACAGCAAGTAAAAAAGTGCACAACTAAAAAGTGTTGTGTGACAAAGTTAAGTAACAGAAGAATGGATCCAAACTGAAGTTTTATGACAGACTGTCAGAAATACATTTACAATACAGAATGTTTTTATGTCAATAACACTTCCAATACACAAAGTTAGTAACTTTGAGAGCTTTAAACATAACATTGAATTATTGTTATGTATAAATAAAGAAATTCTTAAATTTGACCCCAAGACTCAATTAAGTTGGTCTTATTTGATCGTTGCCAAGACTATACACATTTTTCTCAAAGGCCCGTTTTATCTAATGTTACTATTGCCAAACAAACTACTCAATCTGACTAACTCAAGATGGGAAATTTTAAGTCTTCAACACGACTGCAGAATTCATAGTGAAAGGATAAGGATTTTTCTGTCGAACAAGAATTTAACAGCATATTATAGTATTAAATTGTTATAATCTCGATCTAATATCCAAATCTTAACAGGAGGAATTAAATTTAAGATTTAAAGGTCACAATTCCCCTGAGAAACTTGTTATATGCTTTTGATAAGTTTATATCTTTTATTATCAGTTTCTCTCAATTGACTCCAGGACATTTAGGAGAAAAATGTATTTAAATATTACACTGCAATGGCATTAATGTGGTAACATTGTTCAAATCTAGCTGGGAATACAATTTATCACAATCTAAAAACTCAACTACTTCACTTTAATCCATCGTATTTAATTTAGTGAGAAGTTATGATTAATAATTAACTGTTATTTATACAACATTGTGGATTAAAATAGACAATTTTATCATATCACGATATTGAAAGATTTCCAATAGCTGGAAGCGTTCACAGAGAAACAGTTGAAGAGGAAAATTAGATTTTCATATCAGAGCAATCCAATTACTACTATAGGCTCCTTCAGTGTGGCAATTTTGTAATAGCAATCTCATGTAATATCGTTACACTTTTTTCTCGTTATTTTAGTTGTTTTGTTGTGATTGTCCCTTACGAGATTACTTTAACAAAACAAGGTTTTCTTTCGTCTTATGTATAACCTTCACATCCTAGGACACTAGACTCTAGACAGAACTGTTTTACACATTTTTAAGGCTATATCTAGAGGATCGTGGGATTATCACGTGTTAAAAAACATTAGTTATTGGCTGGATATGACCCCGGGACCTCGAGGACCGAAGCCCTGTACTCTATACAAGACAAAATTTCTTCAGCAATAGGTAGATTAGACGTTTAAATCAAGATAAGTTGTAAAATATGTTTTAACATACTTTAAAATGCATTAAATAATTACAAAAACTGTTATTAATCCACCCATGATTTAAATAGTTAATGGCAATAGTAATACATTGGATAAAATTAACTAAATAAAGGTAAAACTGATTAAGTTAGGGAATAAAGTTCGCTTAGTACATACGATGCTTTTAGTAATGCGGCGTGTATGTAATAAACTTAGTTTAGAAAGTTTCCAAGTTCATGTTACCTTCAAGTTTGATAGAACGTGTTTTCTTGATTATATCCCTAGGTGTATTGAAAACTAAATATTTTAGCAGCGATTATGTGGCTTTTGAACTTGTTCTTCATAACATGTTTAACATAATTTTGAATTTAATTAAAACATTTTAAAGTTGCATCATTAACAGAAAGTGACAAACAACTTTGCAGTGAATCTATTTTAGATTTGGTGTGGCCCAGACAACGTAGATCTCAAAATAACTTATTAGGTACAATACAATTTAATCTATTTTTTTATTTTCATAAATACTCTAATGCTATTTATTATTCATCTTTACTATTTAAAAAGACCTGCTTCATACCCTAGTTCTTAAACCCTCTATTTAAATATTTTAAGAAAATCAACCCAAGATTATATATTGGTAACTAGTGTTACATACCGTACTTAAAGAATAAAAATAAATGTTTGCATATTATTGATATTTTTCCACCAGAAAATACATTGTTTATATGAATCAGCATTTCCATTCAAACAATGATAACCAAATCAAAACTACCCCCTTAATTTATATAAAACATGTTCTTAGATTTTAACAAATAAAAAATCAACAAACATAAAAAGTTTTGAATAATGAATCAAAAAGAAAAATTACTGCTGACAATGTGGGGAAAACTAGAAGACTTATTGCTTTGAAACATGACCTCGGCTTAGCAAAGGTTGTAAGGGTTGGCATGGTGGGGGGTGGTGGTGGGTAAAGGGAGAGGGAGGAGGAAGGGAGAACTGACCACCTGTTGAAGGTAATATATTATATCACTTAAACATGGTACAAATACATTTGGCTTAGTGTTTACCTTTGACGTAACCCACTTAAAGTTGACATCACTTTGCCATGTTAAAGTTGTAACAATTCAATAAATATTATAAGAAAACTTAGTTTCAATATTTCATTTATCAGTGGATTACTGGATTGTTTAATTATTGGGCAACCAACAGAGTGTTGTGATGTAAAATAAAATGTTTTGCTTACAACGAGTATTGTATTGTATCATACAATGGCAGGGTCATATTGTAAACTATGGTATCTTTTGGGTATTACATGTTAGTCTGTGGTAAAAAAAAATGAAAAACTGTATCAGCAACCTGACAAATACTTTCTCCGATAGATAAGCTTGTAAACCCTTATCATGGGTAAACAGTGGGAGTAACTATGATATTTTATTGAAAAATCACTAGTTGCAGTAGCTTTTGAACCGTAATTTTTAGAGCATTGGGGGTTGAACTTTGAATGAGTTTGCAAACCAGCATGATCGGACTATGAAAACGGGGTTTAGGCGGGGTTTTGGAAGTAAAAATTAGATTTTTCCCATTTTAGAACCTAATACATAACATTTTACAACTTCTTTCCAAGCCAATTTGTAGAGCTTAAACAAATTATAATTTAATTTCTTATTTTTTCATGCGCTTAATAGTTAAGGAAAAAAATGGTTAAGGAAAGGAAAAATCGCTTAGTCAGTAAGTATGGTGTGGCAGGGGTATATTTTTCTCTTAGAGTAAAAATGAATGGTTATGGTTGATCCATAAAAATTAAATTTGATTGAGTATCACAAGTCAATGATATTACCAAACTGTTATTCACTGTTTTTTTTTTATATTTTTAGTACCTGGTTATGACACAAGTTTAGCAACTAGGTTTAGGTTGGTTTAGCAAACTAGGAAGCCTTAAAACTAGGAACCATAAGCTTGTCATTGCTATCACATTTGTAAAAAAAAAACAAAAGCAAAAACTTAAATATTATACTGTTACTCCAAAAGTTAATTTAAATGAGTTAAACGTACAGTTAAATGGCTTTAACGTTATATAGTCAATGCTTTAACATACAAATGTAGTTTATCAAGAAAATTGTTGACATTTACTAAACATTTTATTTTTATTTTGACAACATTTATGAGTAGATGAAATGTTATGACAGAGTTTGACTAACCTTAACCTACCTCAAGCTATGTTTTGATAGACAGGTTTCACAACTGTTTGACAGGTTATGTTTCTTTATGGTGAGAGAAAGGTGTCCCAGCCGGTATTTACTCAGGGGAGGTATAGAAGAGGATACGATGACAGCTGTGGGCTTCTTTTTAGCTGAGGGAACGTCTTTACCGTAACAAAACGGTCGGAAGCCATCGTCCTAGGTGGTCTAATGGATAGCGTGCCGGACTAATATACTGTAGGTCCCGGGTTCGAATCCCGCTGGTTTCATTAAACTTTTTATCCAAGATTTTTTTATTATCAGCAAGTTTGGTTGGTTTGGTTCGGTTATTATAATTTCATTTTATTATTTAGTCATTAACAAATTTTATTTGAGCAATTTCTAGTTTTATTTAATAAACAGAATTATTTTTCCGATTACTACACTTTTGTTATATTTTCTTTATCAGCAAGTTTGGTTAGTTCGGTTAGGTTATGATAGTTTAATTTTATAATTAAAAAATAATAAAATTGAATTTGAGGCATTTATAATTTTATTTTATGAACAGAACTATTTTTGCGATTAGTTAACCTTCATTGCCAAAGTGCTCTTTACTACAGCGCTGTTCACGGAGGAATTTTGAACTAAATGCCTCATTCGTACCTCCCCTAAGTCAGACCCGTCACAGCCACACCCAATAGCTACTGTCAGATTATTAGTGTTGTTATGACAGCTGTTCTGTATATGGAGCAAAATAAATTTTAAAAATGTATCTCAACCAGCTGATTTATAAAGAATGGATTCCCCAAAGTGGAAGATTTGGTCCTCCCCACAAACATTTTGATATTTTCTGTTTTGAAAAGTTTGGGACATTTTTTACATAAATCTTTCATGTTAAAAGCTAAATCCTTTCTCCAGTTTCTCAGATTTTGACAAGTTTATAAATATACTGATACTAGCTGTACCCGCGAGCTTTGCCCCGTTTAACTTCTTAATTTTCAAGATGAGCTCGTTCGCATGGCTCAATTACGTCCTGGTTGAAGTTCGTTCGCTACGCTCACTCACCTTTAGGTTGGAGCTAGTTCGCTGCGCTCACTTGCCTTCAGGTTAGCTCGTTCGCTACGCTAACTCGCCTCCAGGTTGAAGTTCGTTCGCTACGCTCACTCACCTTTTGGTTGCAAATTAGCTGTTGTCATAAATTTAAAAAAAATAATAGTGCTGCACCCTGTTGGTAATCATTGTAACTTAAATGCTATTGAACATCATAGAACAGAACCAACTTGTTTAATTGAAACAGCTTATAAGATTCATTATTTCCTTTTGAATATGAACAATCATAAGGTTAACATGGGAAACTCCAGAGCCACTGGGGCGGAGCCCGAGGGTCCGATCAGAATAAAAACAACTTAGTTTTCCTATTTAATACCTAAAGAATCGGTGTGCCAAATTTCAGCCTCCTAGGTAAATGGGAAGTGGGAGAATTAGTGATGAGTGAGTGAGTGAGTGAGTGTGTCAGTGAGGGCTTTGCCTTTTATAAGTATAGACTATTTCCAATGAAGACAGAAAATACAAAGTTTTTTTAAGTACCTAAGAAAGTATTTAATTACAGTAAAACTAAAGCAAAAAAAGAACTACTACCGGTACTTTTGAGAGCAGTGTTATTGCTTAACACTATACTGTTTTGAATTTGTAAAAGTATCGTTAAAAGATCCACAATATTTGTCAAAATTTGACTATATTTAATATAGTCAGGAAAAACAGCCCACTGGTCCCCCATCTGCAGTGGCCACCTCTAACAAGATGGCTGAACAGTTAATACGAGTTTGTATTTGTTAAGTATCAAGAAATAAGTCCATAGGTATGTTTTATTTATAACATCTGTCAGATGACTGTTTATATTATTATGTTTTGTTTACATTTTAGTTTAGTCTGATTTGTGAGTTTAATAAATTTGGTTTTTTAATTATGTTTCAATATACTAAAGTATCTTCCTCATGCTATTATTTTTGCAGGCTGTTGCAGCTTCTTGATAAGATTTTGGGATTATGAATGCCACGTTGCATGTTTACAATTTGTAGTGAGATCTATCTGCAAAATCTAAACTAAAATTCCAACTATGTAGGAGACATCGGTCCTACAATTTATATTGGCTACTGTATTTAAAAGAGAAGGAAAATCCCATTTCATTCACAGCACCAAAACAATCAATATAACCTGATTACTGTGCCTAATTGATAAAACCAACATAGGGTCCTTAATGTTGGGCTCCAATATAAACACAAAGTTAATGAAGCAATAGAGACGGATTAATTCAGTGACACAGTCACGGGATGACGGAACTGTGGATCGGGAAACTGTGGTAACCACAACTTGTTGTCGTTAGCCAGTCAAAATTCCACGCTGCGCTTTCTGCAACGACTTTAATGAAGTACAATACGGTAAGTCATATAGGGAAAGAGTCATTCAACTTTTTTAACCAGAATACAAAATTGTTTAACACATTACGTCATCAATACAATTTAACCAACCTTTATATTTATTTCTAAATCAAATTTTTTTGAAAAAAAAAACTTTCTACAAAATGAGGTAAATTAATTAATTATTAAGTTTTTTAATTTTTAGGTGAAAGGACATTGCCCCCATATGATCTCCCCTGTAACTCCGCCCATGCAGAAAAAAAATGGTGTCCCTAAAATGGTGTATACTATTGCATTTTTTTAAGAATCTAAAAGTTTGTGAGGTTCAAAAGTCTATGGCAGCAATTTGGCATAAGTTAATTCAGTTTTGTGTCAAATTTATTTTGAATTTGTATATAATTTTGTATTTTAATGCATTCATTCGCTTATTCTCCATAGAAGACTCATTCTAAATCTACAAATAAACAGAAATCTCTAATAGTGTCTTGTTTTGTATTAAGAATACAATTTGTTTATACTTTATACTTTTCTTTGAAATGGCAACCATACAAATGTAGGTATTATGAATGGAGATGAGTGGCGCCATCTTGTAGTCTTGTTAGTGACTAAGGCCGACATAATCCTTATACACAGCTGTTAATTAATAGCCCATACAGCTAACGGCAACTAAGGGACCTACAGTTTATAGTGGAATCCGAACCACTTTTTTGCCTTGGTATATACGAATTGGTCTAATTATCAGGATAGCACTGTGGATAGTCGTATTACTCACTCGTGCAGACGTTAATCCACACCAGGGAGTATTGCATCCACAGTGCATGCCTATAAATATTCTCAATTTGTTACCTCCTAGTAGCTGGATTACAGGACGATGTACATTATTTTTTATATAGGTAAGAAAACATAAGAAATATAGAAAGGGATTTAGTCAAATTTACTTCTTTTTAACATTTATTTTATAGTTATAAATTTAACTGTACAAACCGATGCTAATGATCAGGGCACATTATAATCCAATTAAGAGAACAAAATCCTTTGAACTTGCAGGAACCATTAACTGAGGATATCAAAGTCAACTTAGCTTTACTTCCACAGAAATGTTACAAACAAGCTAAACATTGTTATGTAATCAATTCTCCACAATATGAATAGAAGTACAGTATATTATTTTCAATATTTGCCACACCTACACAACAATAATTGTTGTCGACTAATTATTAGGCAAGTTCCAAGAAAATTATCTCAAAAGAAAAAAACTAAAAAAAATAACTCTAACACATATTCTTGGGGATAATTGTTTAAATTCCCAAAGTATTTTCATCCCCTCTAAGCGTTTCACCCACCACTCTCCCCTCTATGACTTACTAGCCTTGAAACTGAGTACAAAAACCTGCTGTATTGAATATTATTTGGTTAAATTGATTACTGACACAAGGATTGACTTCCAAAACATTATCATGCATAAGAAGAAAGCAGAAACAGAAATATCTTTGTAATATTTAGGAAATCTAATTTTCTTCCTGAAAAATCTTTAGTAAACTTATACATGTTTCTGTTTAACAGAAAGGAGATGAATAATGTTGATACTTGTTTTAATTTCGTCATCACATTTAATGACAACATTGTCTGAGGTATGATCATTGTTAGCTGTATGCATCAACATAAAACTTGTTCAAAAATTATATATTGCATAATGGACTTATTTGCCCACCTTTCCAGTTTTTGAGATGTATTTTACTTTTTTCAAAACAAATACCTCATAAACAAACAAAACTAAAGGTCTACTTGGGTTAAAGTGTCTTTAAATATTTTACAGTCAATTAAAACTAATCAAAATGGTACCTTGGGAAAAAAATTAAAAAAAATAATTGTATGTATTTATAAGATATCACGGAGAGTATACAAAAGAATCAAGTTACAATGGTTAACCATAAAACATTTATTTCCTTTTAACTTTAGGCACTTTCCTGTTCCTGTTTTTATTTTTAACATTAGTAACTTCATAAAAGTCGCTTCCAGTCTTCTTTCGTTTAATTCTCCTCAGCAAACTTCGTTTTTCTTTACTGGTCAGATTTGACATCTTCTTCATAAGATTTTCATCGTTGTCTTCTTCATCAGGTTTCTCTTCCTCTTCATCCTTAAGAAGGTCGGAAATGTCTGAATCGCTATCATCTTCTTCATCTGCTTTACGTTTCTTCAGTGGCTTTTCAATCTTTTCAGGGAGAGTAGTTTCTTCTTTGTGCAATTCTTGGGCAGGGAAGTCAGTTGTAACTCGGATTTTGGTGAAGTCTTGTATTACCTTATATGTGGATGGTAGTTTTAATATTTTGTTTGACTTGTTTTCTGATTCTTCACCGTTATTTATAGGTTCTGATTTGCTGGGTTCTGCAATTGTTTCTTCTTTCTTCGAAACATCGTTTTCTTGTGAATCTTGAGTGTTCTGAACAGTGGTTTTTGTGTTTTCTTCTAATTTAGATTTGGGTATTTCAAACCCTGCTGGTGCGGTGTAATATGGAAGTTTTCCTCTTTGCCAGTCGTTCAGCACCATCCTTGCAACAATGGGAATGTCAGGTTCACCACCTTTGAGCAGTTTACCGGTCTTTGACGCTAACTGGGTCAAAAAGTCTTCACTGTCAGTCCAGTTTTGAATTCCATATGTTCTAACGATGTATTCTTTTTGTATTTTCTGAAGAACAGCATCTATGTACTGGTCTGGGTCCGGACACATTTCTATCCTTACGACTCCCTTCAACACTTTATCTACGTCCGATTCTGCCTGACCAGTAGCATAAACAACTCCTGGACAATCGATAAGATAGATTCTCTGCATCAGCGTGATGTACTGCCATACCTTGGTTTCTCCAGCAATCGGTGCAACTTTACAAACCTTCTTTGAACGGAGAGAATTTATCACAGAGCTCTTGCCAACATTTGGGTAACCGATGAATCCGACACTAATCTGTTTCTTGTCAGCGTGAAGTTTGGAAAATTGGCGAAGTATATTTATTACAGCTCCTTTTCCAAAGGGATGGGTCAAAGATGCATGATAGGCAATGGTCGGATATTCTGAGCTCAAGATGGCTACCCAACGTTGAGTGACCCAAGTTGGCACAAGATCAACTTTGTTAAGGACAAAAATCAAATGTTTGTGAGGCTTCTCAGTTTTTAGGAACTTTTCAATTTGAGGGCACCTTGTTCCTTGAGGGTCTCTGGCATCAAGCACATTGATCACAACATCTGATGAGTCAATAACCTTGTACAGTTCGTTCCAAATTCGTCGACTCTGGCCTGCATCCATAATCCAATCACGGGCAACATCTCTTTCTCCCGTGTCTTCTTTTACAATGTTAAAATCATTGCTGTCATTGTATGTATCTGTAACTGTATTCACAACTTCAGAAAGATGTTCTTCGTCTCTTACCAGTAAGTTAGGCCGTTTACGTCTCTTTTTCTTACCAAAAACTGACTCAAAACTTTCAGTTTCCAGTATATGAACTCTTTCGTGTTTACTTTTTTCATTCAACAGAGTAATTGGGAGTTTGGTAGACTTCATTACAACATCATAAGGGTTCTTCATTGCTTTACCAAGCTCGTCTTGGAATTTTTGTAGAGCGTTTTGACCAATAACTCTTGAGTTTTCAAACCATTTGCGGTTAGGCTCTACTCTTGCTACAGTGCCTTGAGGAAGCCTACCTTGGAAAGGAGCGGGACTTATAATTTTACCAACCTTGTTTCTTTTAGCTTTGAAGTTGCGATACATCTGCAAGCGGTTTATTGTGGCTTTGGTTCGCACCTTGGCGACTCCTTTGAGACCTTCTGCTTTCCGTTCGGGATTCATACTGTGGCCAGACCTGTTGAACCCCTGCTTCCGGGGAGCTCCCGGAGTAGATTTTGTTTTGGCCATTGTGGTCTGTAAAATAATAAAAGACTTTTTAGTGCCTTATGTAAGATAGCTTAAAACAATTGTCCCTCTATTGGCAGAAATAATTTGCCTTGCTACACACTTTCAGATAATAATTGAAATAGGTATTAGTTCATATTAAATGAGATTTTAGAGAGCAAAGAATATAAATGCCGATTTTCAAATCCTACAACTACAAATTTTGACTGTTTTAAAATCTGTTTAAACAACTTTTCCAAAATACTAACGTAACTGAGTTGATGTTTAACTATTGTTATGAACAGTGACAGAGAACAGACTAAACCAAAATCAAGTGGGGATCAATGGGTTTTAAATTAGGCTTACAAAATAGGCAGGCATAGGCCTACATAAATCTTTGCATAAAAATTGAGTTTAAGTTTAAAGCAACGTTAAATATTATACTGTGTGCATAAAGATAAAAATTGATCATTGTGCCTGTGTAAAATGCAGTAAGAAGTAATTAGTTAAACAGTTTGATGTCGCCATTTTAAGAGTATGTGAAGTTGATACCACTTCTACATTGTGATCAGTATTTTTCAGGGTATTCAATTCATAATTGTCTACGTTTGTAGAGGTCATCAAGTGGTAGAAAACTCGACCAAAAATATCTAATGTACATACTTCTCTATTTTCACCCCACGTTGTAAATAAAACATGTGATTAGAATTTCTTCCATTTGTTTTGATTTTCTGTTTATATTTTGATGTTATTTCATCACCAGCATAGCAACGAATAAGGCTATGTTATTGTTTAAAAATGTAAATTCATTTTTGTGCTTATTTTTTAGCCTATTTTAATTTATAAAGGGATTATGCACACCTGCAGGGAAATATCTTTCTGACTGTAGGCCTATGCGTAGATTTTTCCTAGGATGTACACAAGCTGAGAAAAAAGTTTTAAAGAAATATGCTTGCCATTATTTGAATAACCTATCAAAATCAAGCTAAGGAAAATTGCATGCGCAGTGGATTTGGCAGTTGTAACATCGTTTGCTTTTAGGCTTTGTCAGACATTTCAATTCTCAGTAATATGGTGCTTCACGTAGCCTATTGCTGTTATGTTTGGTTGTCTTTGGGGGTACAGTTCCGCAAAGAACCTACGATTATTATTACCCTAGATGAAATGATAAAACGGTAGCCTATTTATAACATAGGTATCAGATATAGTTTTCATGCAATAAGAATATAGATTTTATGTTTTTCAAGACTTTTTACATACTGTGCTGCAATACATTAGAGCCCATTCACATGAGGCCACTGGTCGCCTGTCACAGCTGAAACATTGTTTTGAATGGGGGCCTTCAGGTGCTGCCACTGTGGTTTCCTGTCAGGATACAGTGGTCGAGCTGTGTCTCCTCGTGCAACTGCAGTGGCGGCAGCTCGTCGAGAGACATTAAATTAAATGGGAACCTTCATGAAGCCACTAATGGCCGCCAACGCAGAACTACGTGTATAAAATGTTTTGTCCCCAATACATTAATTTAACACGTTTGCGGCAGCACGTCAAATGGCGGGCGTATCCCAGGTGCGGCGCAGCCCTCAGCATCGAACAAACCCGATTGCTGCGTGTGATTGGCATTTTAATTTCGGTCTGACGAATAACAAATAACGTGCGAGGATGTCCTGCTTTACAACGAGAGTCGACGTAGTTCGCTAAACACCCACAGATAGCAGCACTGCTTGGAACGTAGCCGGTCCCATTGGAATTGTATTGCCAAATGGAGGGAAAAGACAGGACAAAAAGTAGATTTTTAGATTGCCAGAGGGGGATTTTAGGGGGAAATTTACCACCAACCTACACCACAACAAAATACAGTATACTATTGAGCAGTGCTGTACAAGGTTTCAAGATTCTAGCTCTAATCCTGGCTTAAAAATAAATCATTTCGTACTGCTATGCAGATTGGGAGCGATCACACCCACCCGGATGGCATTAGGGTTCCATATGGGAGCGATCGCTCCCATGCCGCCGCGAACGTGTTAAGTATGTTATTGATATGTCATATTACCTAGTTGTTAAGTAGTAAAAATATTTGCTTTGTATTTATAATATTTTATTCATTTGTGTTTTTATAAGAGACAGACTTTTGCAGCTGGAGACAGGCGCACTTATGCTAATTGTGGAGTGGTTTCATGTTGAACTGTTTATTTGATTGTTTATAATACCTAATGATGAAGCAGAAAACATTTTTTTAACAATCTGTAATAAAGGCCATTGTCCTTCCTAGTGGTTAGTATTGGATGAACGTGGAACATTTGCCTGTGTCTTCACCCTATTTTCATCATTAGTAAAGCCATAGATAAAACATACTCCCTTAGTAGATTTCTCATCCTTATGGAACAGCTGAAGACAATTTTATTGTTAGTTCTGTACGGTTTATGTAGAGGTCGTGTTTTGTTTACAATTTGTTTCCCGTTATTACAGCCATTTAAAACCAAGTTTAGCCAAATAATACGATCTAATCATAAACAATAACTTGTCCCCTAGTTATATACGGTAACCAAACAGTAAAGCACAAATCAAGAAATTAACCCTAAAATAATAGAAACAAAGTTTCGTCAACACTAGCGCCCATGTGTCACGTACATGAACTAGACACGAAAAACGTGCTTCAAAATTTACAATGGGATGAGAAGTCTACTTGTGTTGGTTAGTCTATGGTAAAGCCAAAAGAATGAGATGTGTATTGCTCGTCAGCATTTTCTCGCAGTCGCACAAAGGTAGAGTGGCTTGTCAGTTGCCTAAGGTACCCTACCATCAGAACTGCAGTTGCCGAGCCGGTAACCAGTGACGGCCACTAGTGGCAGCCACAAGTGGTTTTGTGTGAAATTTCCCTTAGGTTAGGTTAGTTTAGTGTTTGGCTTAATTTAGTTTAACATAGGTACAAACAAAAAAGGTAAATTTATAAAAACAAAAGTTTTTATAGTTTAAGTGTAATTTGTTAAATAGATAAATTTACAAGGATATAAATTTATATTTGTAGCCTACGAGGTGGGCCTATCTTCTTTTTAGGTCTACATGAGTTTCTTAAACTAAACTAAGCTTAAACGCCACAGTAGCGCACTATTAAAGAATATCGGGCAGTACTCTAGCCTCAACTAACTTGAAAAAAAATGCAAGACAGAAAAGCAATGTTTATCTTATATCGATTGAAATATTTGATTTAATATTCATATCAAGTTATTAATTTATCCATTAAATATATTCTAGGTTCTCTGCGGAACTGTGCTTGTCTTTAGCTAACTAAATTACAGAGGTGAGCAAAGAAATAGTCGTCACTGAAAATGCAGTAGAGACAAACTTAGGCCTAAGCAGAGGCCGATCCGAAGGGGGGCACGTGCCCCCCCTCCCCCAGAACGACCTAACTTGACACTTGATAAAATTAACATTTAGGCCTACACAAACAACTGCTCGGAGTTAGTATCGTTCACAGTCCAATTATAAGGTGGGGGATACCCTTGCTTTACCAAAGCCCCACTAGAAAAACAAGCCATGCTGCAGCGCAACACTACGTCACAGGGGTGGAGTTAAAATCTGACAAACAGCCAGCTTATTTACCGGTAGGCCTACCTAAAACGTATGGGATATTGCAGTGAATCTATCAACAAATCTATCCACTAGTGTGACGTCATATATCCTGCAGCATGGCCTGTTATTCTAGTGAACGCCTTGCTTTACGCATTACACCAAACATAACCTCAAACCTCACACATTCTACGTTGTCAATGAAACGTGTAAAATGATCAATCAGAATCAATGTCGGTTCAATTAATCTTTCTCCAGTGTTGCCACCATGTCAATTTAGTGTTTGGTATCAAATACTAATGTTTTTTTTAGCATAAAGCTTCGCGGGCCATTAATTCCCGAAACTGTAAAGCAGGACCAGTCCATAACCCCAGACCCCCAGGTTGTGCCCTTCCAAAACATAAATTCTGGATCCGCCCCTAGGCCTAGGTGATTTAAGTTAAAGGGAATAGGGATAGGGGTAGCCTAAGTTAAATATAATTCTAATCGTCATCAAAACTTCGAATTTGTACAAATATGACATCGCCGCTATCTCAGCCGAGACCTAGGCCTAACCTAAATAGGCCTATTATGTCGGTGCATTTGGGCAAGTGATAAAATCCTCATCACATTAGAAATAATTCAGTTTTATTGTTTCAGTTAACGCATACAATTCCATAAAACTAATTTAGTCCTTAAATTGAAGAAAAATAAAGAATGCAAGCCACATGGTCAATATCATAACCTTAATCGTTCGTATCAAAGTTATCCTACCTACGATATATTAGCTTACAATAAATGAGTATTTTTAATATATACCTTGGAAAGTAACTGGTTGGTTTAATTAGCTTAGTACAATCAAAACGAAAGATGTATTTAACAATATTATTAAAAAATATAAATTACTGAAAGTTGAGGTTAGTTATCATGATGATAAAAGAAAAAGAAAAAGAAAAAGGTCAAAACATAATAAAACGTCAAAAGTCTCAGCTTTTTCCTGTATCGGTTTTAATTAAAAGGCTGGCTTAGGCTTAGGAATTTTAAACCATGCAGCTGCGAAGAACACTTTTTTCAATTATCTGAATTCTCTTTAAGATTGATTTCTGGAAAAGTTAAAAGAACTCCATTTAATTAATTGTTGGATATTAAGTTGTTTTTATTAATTTTGTATGATTTGTGTTTTGCTTGTTGTTTGTCTGTGAGTTATTCACGAAATAGATGTTTTTTCTTATGAGGAATAAAAATGAGTTGATTTCATAGAAAAATTGTGTTCTGTTTTCATTAGGTTTAGTCTAAAGATTGTTCTAGGCGTTCGCTTGCATGTTATATTTATTGCTATGATATTTTCTTCTGGCATAAACAAAAAGTGCACACTCAATTCACAAAAATGAAATGTTCCACAGTTAGTTTTGTTTTTTCCATAGGCACAGTAACTTATAATGCCTAAGGGGGTGGATTACTCTCCAATTTTATGTCGAAAGCTAAAATGCATTTGGCGAAATCTTATTTTAAAAATATTTGATATTAGTAATCTGTTGAGTTAACATTTCTAAACCAAAAGATTTTTTTCTGAAATTAGGTTGTATTTTTGTACCATTTCCCTGTTTTGCTGCATTTGATATGGACTTTGGTTTGTTGAATTATGTATGACTAGCTGTAACCCGCGGGCTTTGCCCCGTTTAACTTCTTATTTTTCAAGATTATCTCGTTCGCATGGCTCAATCACGTCCTGGTTTAAGTTTGTTCGCTACGCTCACTCACCTATAGGTTGGAGCTCGTTCGCTACGCTCACTCACCTTTAGGTTGGAGCTCGTTCGCTGCGCTCACTTGCCTTCAGGTTAGCTCGTTCGCTACGCTAACTCGCCTCCAGGATGAAGTTCGTTCGCTACGCTCACTCACCTTTTGGTTGCAAATTAGCTGTTGTCATAAATGTAAAAGAAATAATAGTGCTGCACCCTGTTGGTAATCCTTGTAACTTTAATGCTATCGAACATCATAGAACATAACCAACTTGTTTAATTGAAACAGCTGTTAAGATTCAATAATTCCATTTCTCATTAGGTTAACATGGGAAACTCCAGAGCCACTGGGGTGGAGCCCGAAAGGATTTTTGAAATAAGAATATGCCTATATGTTAATCGGGAATGTGAGCTATCATCATGCCAAATTTCAGCCCAATCCGACCAGTATTTTTCGCGTTCACTTGTCACAAACATACATCCATACATCCATACATCCAAACTTTCTCATTTATAATATTAGTAGGATTTAAAGTCTTCAAGAGGTATTTGAATGTCTGTATAGTTATGTTTTTCAGTTATTGCCACTCTATTGGAAGTAGCTTAACAATCTCAATTTATTAAGGTTACAATTAATTGCTGCTTTCGATGTAATTTCTTTTATTCGATGGTTGTTTGAATGATTTTTAGGACAAGTCCACAGTTAAGTATTGAAATGGATGATTGAGCCCTTTGTGTGTGTTTTCTAAGATTTTCACAGCTGATTGGGAGTCTTAATAACCCTTAAAATTATGACGTTGAGGTTTTCGTCTTTGAATCCGTTAAGTTCAGTCAGTTTCAAAATTCAGTGGTTCAGTGTTAAATAATTAATTTTAATCTATGGTTAAGAAAAACCATTGACACTGATGCTTTTTTGCAGTCTTGATTAGTTGTAATGCTATTATATTGACAATCCTTTAATAGGTTTAACCAGGTAGACTTAAACATTGATTTCATAAGCCAACTGTATAGTCATAATTTTTTTCTTATGTTGTATACACCTGGAGGAGTCGCAGGAGGTATTCAAACGCTTTGAGGGCAAGTGTTCCAAACTGAGGATACTGGAGGTAGCACTGGCATGGCAACTCTGCTAGAAAATCGATACACAATTTTGTTATGATGGTACCGGTACCAACTAGATGAATCAACCAGCTCATTGGCTCTTGGCTATTACAATCCACTATTACCCTTGTTGTTCTAAATGCATGTACTTTATCCCTTATTAGGCCTAGAAATGGCGGCAAACGTCTCACAAAATCAAATCTCTTATTCAGTGCTACTTCCAAATGTCTCATCTGGTTCTGCGTCCAAGCCCTTATGTGTTGTGGACGTACCAAGAATCAAGCCCGTCCCTTCCGCACCAATGTTCAAGGCTAGCAACACAGAATAACAAAACTATGTTCATTGAAAGATAACACACCAATTTAAAGAGCCTTTTATATGATTGCACTTCTTGCTGTCAAAATAAGATTTGCCACAAAACTGTTGCTTTATCATTCAACACTCATCCGTCACTCATCTTTGCCTTAATTCATAAATATCCGGTGTTTGGCTTGTAAAAATCGTATACAATTCATAATGTGAAGCTCACTTTTATTAAGGTATGCCAGTAGGAGTAGTGTAGTAAGTTCCTTGAAATGTTCACTCTTTTACTAGAAGAAATATTTCTTTAACCCCACTGAAAAATAAACAAATATCCTACATAATTTAGATTAGTGGGTAATTTTTAAACTCTAAGGGGTAAATAATACTCGGTGATATTTGACAAGGCAGAAAAGGTTGCCTCCCAGTCCTTTACAATCTCTAACATACAGAGATGAAGTACAGTATTTGATAACTATCAAAGTATCAGTGATAAATTATGGTGAATGCAAATGTTAGGTGGTGAGGGACTCTGTTGTACCACATAATGACTTAAAAGGATTTTTCGTAGGTAAACTAAGTTTATTGCAAAACATTTAAAAATTAAAATGTTATCTACTAACGCTAACAGATAAATAAAAACTATTTGGTAACACCTAAATATACATCAACAATTTATTGTCAACTCATCGCTCTCAAAATTTCAACACACAGTCAGTTTGTCTTTTTCTCATTAAGTTTCCCAGGTCTTCCACAAAGACAGAGGCACACAGCGCGTAGTGCAGTAACAGCTGTGATGATAACCCCCAGTATTACTGCTACTATGTCCAGCAGAAGATATTGGTAGAGAGGCATGTCAGCTGATGTTGGCCTCAGCTGTGGAGCCCCTCTGTGACGTATCACATACTCCGTCCAATAGACTGCGGAATCCAACGCTGTCATCGGCCTGTCTCGGAATCTCATGGATAATAGCCTCATGTTGTTGGTGTACCTGGGTGAAAGATATTTTATTAACTTTGATGCTAAATTAATATTAAAATATTTTTTTACTAGTCAAATATTGTGTGACTTTGATTGGGAGATACTTGATTCACAGAAAGTTTTGCAAAAAGTATATTTTTATAGAAGGACCTGCATCCAGTAATTACAGATCATTATGGCTCTGAACCATCAGCTTTTATCATTAGGTATTACTAAGAAAATTACTGATTGGAAAATGGCGGGGATTTGAACCCCATATAGTGACTGCAACTAAAACTGTGTGTGCTGGTTATCTTTGAATATTTGATTCTACACTATAAGGCCAGTGTAAATATTTTCAAACTCATAAAATTAAATTTTGTAGCAATAAAAGGGGGTTTTCCAAAATATAAAAGTATTTAGAAAATTTTTAAGCAGAACTTAGTTATGTACTTCCATACTAAAACTGTAAAACTTAGAAAAAATAGCGAGTAAAAATGCAAGCAAAAAAGTTAACCTACTAATTCATATTTAAAATCAGCAGAAAAAAATTAAGATTTTTGTATGCTTATACATTTAATAAAGATAGGAATACATTTTCACATTTTAACTGAATACCATACTTCCTATATAAAAATTTATAAACATTACTATTATTGAAAATTAAATGAAACATTGAGATTCAAATAAAAAACAACAAAGACAAAATAACATATTACTTTGGATTATTTAGTATCTCGGCAATTGTATTAGCTATTGTCTGCTCTGTGACTCCATCTAGATCCAACTGAATGCCAGCTTCCTTTGAGATGATTGCTCGGATATTGTTTCTCTGATCAGCAAAGAACGGAATTCCGATCATTGGCTTTCCAAAGTTTACAGCTTCAATAGTGCTAGAGAGACCACCATGTGCTATAAAGGCCACCACCTTTTCATGCTCTAAAAAATTTCAAAGTTTTAAATTCCAAAAAATAAAAAGAATACTAAAAATGTTTAGTTGACAAACTCACTCTAACAGAGACTTTAACATCAATTAGGGTTATGTAATTAATTACCTGGATCATTACTAAATAAAGTTAAGTTTGATGGTTTAAAACTAAACCCAGCTTTCCATCATTGTGTTTAATAGGTACAGTAGAACCTCTTTAATCCGAACCCCTGTAATCCGAACGTCCACTAATCCGAACGTCCACTAATCCGAACGCCTCATTGCTGTACTTTAAACACAGTACAGTAGTTCTATATTGTATACTGTATTTATTGATATACGCTCCGTGGTTATTTCAATTGTAATGTGCAGTACTGTTTATTACCTATGTTTACTACTGTATTAAATAAACACTGTATTTTACTTTATAAAGCATTTTTCACTTTTCCCTAGCTTTGTTATGTAAAAACAACAATACGTTCTGTAATCCAAACTATTCAATAATCCGAACTACCCCTGGTCCCAATTAGTTTGGATTAAAGAGGTTCTACTGTATTTACATAATTTTGATAGGACTTTAATGGTTCAATGGTTTTTTTTCAGAACAAATCAACAGTAATAGTTTGGCAGATGATTTTTTTTTAGTTTCCAAACCCTAGCAACGTTTAGCTTTATGATATAGACACAGGTTTGTTGAGGCAAACTTAAAGGATATACCTTTTTAAGACATTATTTCACATTCAGATGTTTTACTATATATATGTGAATTTAGATTTGAAGTATAAAATTTGATACCTATTAGATCTCTTTGTGGAAGCCATTTTCTGATAATGACGTTGGGAGGAGCTTCTGGTAAATCTTCTTCATATTTGAAAATCACAGTTTGAGGGATTCTTGAGAACACTCTCATGAACATGAGGATAATTTCCTTGGGGAAGGTAGATGCTCGTAGGAGTGATCCAAAACTCATGAGTATTATTCCATGTTTTGCACCATCTACAACATTTTGAATATCCTGAAAGAAGGACATTGTTTTTCACCATGAAGTTGAAATCGTATTAAAATCGTATATACTCTATCAATAAAATGTTGTGCTCTAGGAGGATAAAGGTATCTACTCAAGATCATAATAAAAATTAACTTGAACACATTTTTATGTCTCTACTTGTCTATTATTGTCAACGTCACTTTGTAAAGTTGTTCGGATTTTGTCTATTGATGGTTACTCACCACGCTATAATGTGTATTTTTATTTTCTTTTCATGATTCTGGTTCACCGGAAACTTTTTACAGGTATATATTACCAGTAAGTATTTTTTAACCTAAAATAATTTCAATATAAAAATTAAACATATGCCTAATCTTTTATGGAATAGCTAAGATTTATTTTTTGGGTATATTTCTGTCTGGTTTATGTTAAGTGTTTTCTGCTGTTTACCATTTGTCTTTTGGTTGTCCAATGTTGAAACTTTTGTGTGATAAAACAGAATTAGAGAGATTTACCTACTATAAGATTTAAAGCACTCTTTGCAAACTCACCATTAAAGCAAAAGAATAACCATAGTCAATATTAGCACATTCAAGTCATAAAACAAACATAAAATAAACTTCAGATTTTACAGTAGATGAGAAGTCAACTTGCAGTATCCAAAGTCAATTATAATACAGCCCATGATAATTTGGTGTGCAATCAGCTGAGCTTAGGCAGCAACAAAGAAATTAAGTTTGTTTTGTGTTTTTCAATGGAGTTGGAATTGTTAACAGTTTTTTGTATGTTAGCAGCCAACCCCTCTTTATTTTCTATGTCAACATTCCTATACCTTTATCATTAATTAATAGCCCATTGACAAATATGGCATATGGGTCTAGACATTCTAGAATTCATTATCTGTTCGTCAAACTCGATCAAACCAAGCAATTACCGGTAACTTTCAGATTTGAAGGAGAACACACTCTAACCACTTGGCTACTCAGATATATTTCATTTATTGGTATATATATTACGTTAAATAAAAAATAACTACGGTAATTATTTACCTGAGGTAGAGGCCTCCGCTCTCTGATGTGGATTCCTCCAATCTCCACCACGTTGGGAGGGAAGGGTCGAGACAGACTGAGGATATGGAAGCTGTTTATAAGGTACAATGAAGTATTTGCCACAACGTCCCCTAGTGGAGGTAGCTTCATCCCTAGACTCTCCTCAGCCCAAACCTGGCTCTCCCTGGCGTAGACGAAAGAGTGCATCAACTTGGCGTAACTCAGGGTCAAAGTGTTGTGAATCCTCTCCCCGAATGACATCTGGGGGCTGAAGTTGACCAAGTAGTTAGGAATGTATGAAGGATTATCCGGCAATCCGAACCTATCCGCAGCCCAGGGCATGGCGATTGACGTTGTTATAGAAACCATTGGAATATCCAACAAACGTGCAAAATAAGCATAACAGTCAGTCCCAAATATTTCAGTGATCAACAAATCATACTGTCCTTTAGCTTTTAGAAGCCCTTGAAACTCGGGAAGTTTCAGAACTTTTCTGCAGGTTGTTTCGTGAACGTCGTAGAAGAAATAGGTCGACGCCCAAGGGTCAGGGAGTCGCTCTTTGATCATATCAACGGAAAACTGACTCGTCAGTGGTGGAAGGATCTGGGAGAAATCTACATCGGTGTAGTTGGTGATTGGTTTCTTCTGCGGGAAGGGGGAGAAGACGGTGAGTTGATGACCGCGAGAGGCGAGCTCTTGGAACAATGGTTCCATTACTATCCAGTGGCTTCTCATTGGCATAGGTACAAGGGCAAGAATCCTGGCCGTCTCTCCTACACTCATCAGCATGAAGGGAAGCAGCAACAGTATATTCAACATCTTGAAAAAAAAACCAATTCAAGAAGATTAAACAAACATTTTTTCCATCGTGTTTTTCCAAATAAAAATAAGATAGGATATAAAATTTGTCCTTAAGATGTTATTTCTGGTGATTGTAGATGAAAGTAAAATATACAGGGTTAGTAAAAAGTCTGGAGACCCCCCCGTTAATTTTATCACGACCTTCAAAATGAGGGGTCACTCGATGGGGCTTAGCGTTTAAAATATTTGAGTTTCCCCCAAAATCCCCCATTTTGGGGATGTACACCAAGTGGCGGTTATGCCCAAAAAGTACTTCATACCATGCCATAAAGGTATGCTGAGTTTTGTTTTTCTAGTATGAGCCGTAAAAAAATTAACAGGGGGTCTCCAGACTTTTTACTAACCCTGTGTATTACTGCTTATTTGAGATTATATTGAAGTAATGTTTTCAACAGCTCTACCTCTATATCATTAACTTTTTTAGGTACGGTATCTGAAAACTGCCATCTCTTACTGACCCAATGTCCCAAAAATATTACATTTATTTCCATTGTTGAAAAACATTTTTTCACTTTCCAATCCTACTAATATTATAAATGAGAAAGTTTGGATGTATGGATGTATGGATGGATGTATGTTTGTGACAAGTGAACGCGAAAAATACTGGTCGGATTGGGCTGAAATTTGACATGATGATAGCTCACATTCCCGATTAACATATAGGCATATTCTTATTTCAAAAATCCTTTCGGGCTCCGCCCCAGTGGCTCTGGAGTTTCCCATGTTAACCTTATGAGAAATGGAATTATTGAATCTTAACAGCTGTTTCAATTAAACAAGTTGGTTCTGTTCTATGATGTTCAATAGCATTAAAGTTACAAGGATTACCAACAGGGTGCAGCACTATTATTTCTTTTACATTTATGACAACAGTTAATTTGCAACCAAAAGGTGAGTGAGCGTAGCGAACGAACTTCAACCTGGAGGCGAGTTAGCGTAGCGAACGAGCTAACCTGAAGGCAAGTGAGCGCAGCGAACGAGCTCCAACCTAAAGGTGAGTGAGCGTAGCGAACGAGCTCCAACCTAAAGGCGAGTGAGCGTAGCGAACAAACTTCAACCAGGACCTGATTGAGCCATGCGAACGAGATAATCTTGAAAATTAAGAAGTTAAACGGGGCAAAGCCCGCGGGTAACAGCTAGTTGTCTAATAAAGTTTGGATGTATGGATTTATGGATGTACTAGCTGTACCCGCGGGCTTTGCCCCGTTTAACTTCATAAGTGAGCTCGTTCGCATGGCTCAATTACGTCCTGGTTGAAGTTCGTTCGCTGCGCTCACTTGCCTTCAGGTTAGCTCGTTTGCTATGCTAACTCGCCTCCAGGTTGAAGTTCGTTCGCTACGCTCACTCACCTTTTGGTTGCAAATTAGGTGTAGTCATAAATTTAAAAAAATAGTGCTGCACCCTGTTGGTAATCCTTGTAACTTAAATGCTATTGCACATCATAGAAAAGAACCAACTTGTTTAATTGAAACAGCTGTTAATATTCATTAATTCCATTTAAATATGAGTACTCATAAGGTTAACATGGGAAACTCCAGAGCCACTGGGGCGGAGCCCGAGAGTCCGATCAGAATAAAAATAGCTTAGTTTTCCTATTTAATGCCTAAAGAAACAGTGTACCAAATTTCAGCCTCCTAGGTAAATGGGAAGTGGGAGAATTAGTGATGAGTGAGTGAGTGAGTGTGTCAGTGAGGGCTTTGCCTTTTATATATTTAGATGTTTGTGACAAGTAAATGCATTAACCACTGGACGGATTTTGCTGAAATTTGGCATGATGATAGCTCACATTCCCGATTAACATATAGGCATATTCTTATCTCAAAAATCCTTTCGGGCTCCGCCCCAGTGGCTCTATAGTTCCCCATGTTAACCTTATTAGTATTCATATTTAAAGGGAATTAAAGAATTTAGTCAGCTGTTTCAACTAAAAAGTTGGTTCTATGACCAACAAAAAGCATTAAAAACTTATAAGAATTACCAACAGGGTGCAGCACTATATTTATTTTACATTCATGAAAACTGCTAATTTGAACTAAATAGTAACAAAAAAACTGTGCAATGAGAACTAACTGTCAAAGTAGGATTGTTTACAGTTATGTTTTTATTTTTAGTTTCAGGAATAATTTGTGATATTTTGCGATTTTTTTTAAATTTATTTTTGTCTATTGCTTAGGTGAAGAAGTAGAACATAATGGCTATGGTAGATGTGTGATACTATAGAATACCCCTATGAAGGACAGGTACTCTGCTAGTTATATTATATAGGCACCTCTATAAAATAATGTTTACTTGATTTACTACACAGGCTGTGTGAAAAATCAAGGAAAAAAAATAATTATTTTTTGTTTAGACTAAAAGTCACATAGTTCATAGTTCTGAAGTGTCTGGTTGTCTGTCTGTCTGCAAGGAATTTATACAAATGCATCCATAACTTTTGATACACAAGAGATTGACTTCAAATTTAAAGTATGAGTGGTGACAGATATAGGACCTATCTACACAAAGCACGAGATTATAGATTGTACTAATTTTAAATGGCAACTAACAGTAACTGTAGAGTTTTAATTTAAAAATAATTAAAATATGTATACTCTGTACTATTTTAGCAGGATCTATATTAATAGACATTAATATTAAAATAAGCAAAATTACTATAACAACAGAAAATTGTATCTAGAAAATTGTTTATCTTACCATCATTTAGTTGATAGGCCTTACACTACTGGCTCTAAATGAAGATTTTGTGGTTATATGCACAACAAGGTCCATTGTAGATCAAATAAATGTAAGGTTAAACAAACCAGTGACCTCTATAAAATAATAATGTTTTATGAGCTAAAAAACTTCAAACACATTTATATAGGTCCTAAGTATTTAAATTAATGATTTCAAACTTCACAGTAAGCCTCAAAATTAAACAGAACATCCTTACCTTGATTACCTCTGTATGCTAATATTAATAAGAGGCACACAATATAAAATATTGAGATGGATAACTCAGTCATTACTCATTAGTATTATTTTGGTTATGTGTTGTATAAAATTAGAAACACTTCATTTAAGTCATTGGGATTAACAGTAAAAATTAATGTAGCTTATTATATAAAATACCATTAATCACATACCTTAATATCGGCTCCTTACTATAAAACTGTTTACACTATGATATCTACAATGTGCAAATCATTCAGAGACAAGTGGAAGGCCTAAAATCACTGAGCTATTGTCTGTTCAACAACAAAAACTCTCAACCCTGATAGCATTATCTATTGGCACGGATCACATAAGTACATTAAAGACTGATTTGCCGTCCTGTGTCCCTTCTAATTATAAATATTTCTTCCAAATATTGGTATTTGTAGTTTTAACAATATCGTTTGGAACGATTGTTTTGTTTTAGCGTGATCCTTATACCGATACTTGTTCCAAAAAACCAAAACCAACCCAAATCCTGTCACACTCTTATCTTTGTCTTTATCTCTCTCACGGTGACGTTCAAAAGTCAGCTGATCCGTTTTAACGTTCGAAGGCTTAACTGAACGTACTAAATACTTTTTCAATGAAATTGCGACCATACAAAGTAGGTATTTTAAGCCAAGTATGAATAGAGAGGAGTGTAGGATGAGTGGCGCGATCTTGCAGTCTTGTTAGTGACTAAGGCCGACTTATTCCTTAGACACAACACTTTACCATAGAACCCATTTTGAGGGAGGGAACCACTCGCGGTAAAAAAAATCTTAGGTTGTATTGTAATACTACCGCGGTGCATAATTTGACTGAGCATAGTATTCGTAAACACAGCGATAAAACAACTTGTCCACTTTCGCAGGACAACATTTCACGAGACAACTGAAAAATTTTTCTCTGCATTAAAATTAAGGACATTTAAAAACGGAGCGTGATTTTGAACATGTATTTCGTTCGCAATTCACGAATAACGGATTGGACCGATACAAAGTTGTCTGAGTGCTGCTTTTTAAAAATCCATCTGAAAACTCCATCGGTTTAATATTTTCCATTCTATTCTTTAGAGAACCATTTTTGTTTTTCTAACTAGTAGTTAAAATATAGAAAACGTTGCTTTGGAACAATCGGTGACTGTAGCCTAATAACCATTTCAGTAGGATTTTCACATTCTTCTACTATTGGTTTGTTGGAAATAATTGGTTTAAGTAAGTTAATTCATTATATTATATTTATACTTTAATTACTATGTAGGAAATGTATCAAATGTTTAATCGTTGTAATAGTAGCTGTGTTGCAACTCGTATACACCTTTATAGACTCATAGTGTCAGTTGCGAAGAACGAGTAAAACTATTAGTCATGAATTAATAAGAAAATATATTTTCACCACTCTTACTTAGAGAAAACAATTAATTACTCGTTAAACAGAACATTCAATTAGGAAAAAACTAGCCTTTAAAGAGTATGACGTTCCCAAAAACATGTTTTGAGCTTTTATATTTTCTACAAGCAGTCCAACAAACGAGACATAATATTAGGTCATTTGAAGTACGAAGGGCACTGTCTAAAGTAGCTTTAATAATTAATCATAACTAACATTATTATCTCTTCACATTCCGTTGTTGAAACAACTACCGGTATATATCGAGAGTTCAATTATTTAGGCAAAACTCCAATACAAAACTAGACCCAAAAATAAACATCTGAGGGCGCAACATTCCCTAAAACGAGTTTTGAGCTGTAAAACCTATAAGCAGTCCAACCAAGACCAGGTAATGTAATATATCTGTGAAGCCGGATCTGACCGGGTAGCGCCAGGATCTTACATAACCACTGTCCAGGACATTCAGTATAGTAGGCGTGTGTCAGTGTGCATCTTAGAACCTGGACTCCAGTCCCAGTAGTGACTGTACTGTGTTATTGTGCATTTATTCCTCAACTCCCCCTATGGCGGCTGCCGCAAGATGTCTACTGTCCACCGCCTCCAGGACCTTGAGCTTGGACGGGATGTTCATCCCCCTAACCACCCCCTTCTCTGTGACGTCACGGGACATTGACTACGAGAAACTCAATTTCAACCTGTACAAGTATAAGGATGTCCCTTTTGCAGGTAAGTTTGGAGACTGGTTCACATTGATAAAAAATTAATATAAAAATAGTGTAGTTTTTATTTTGTTTTATTTGTTAAAACTTTTCTCATTTATTATTTTGTCAGACATTTTATTAGCAACAGACATATTTTATTACCTTTTAGCTTACTTATTGAAAAAATATGCACATACAAAAATATTACATTATCGTTGTATATAACTTGAATAGTTTTTGGTACTTAAATTAATATTTTTATTTGACAAATGAATAATTTGTTATAGTAGTTATAACTATAACCGATGAAATTTTAAAGAAAACTAAAGAAAGTGTTATTTAATATGTAGGGTCCTCGAAAAATAACTCAATTAATAAAACTGACATTGTCTAAGCAAGGTTTTTTTGTTATGCAACCCAGCATCATCTATGCAGCCACTAGAATACACAATGAAGGCGGCTGTCTGTGTGTGTGTGTTCACTTTACATGCTTTTCAGTTTAAAACGTTTATAGTGTGTTACTGTTGTCGGTCTGTTTACATTTTCATTTTATCAATTGACTTGCAAAGCTTTCTTATTGTTGTCTATCTATACTATTGACAGGTGGTATCTGTCTGTCTGTCTGGGCAGCTTTAACGACTAAAATACTAAACCAATACAGCCAAAATTAAGCACAAAGATGGTCCACATATCTAGGAATGTCATAGACCAATTCACTTCCCTGAGTTCCCCTCGGGCTACGCCCCTTGGATGTCAAAAGTTTTGATGTCAGGTTTACAAAAGTAAATAATTGGTATCCATGGAAGCATGAGAAAATTTACAATGTTTAAATTTTTATTGACATTAAAATGTAAACAACCAGAACTGCCATATGCCCATATTTCACAATAATTTCAAACAGCTGATCGAAAGAAATCCTTATATATAAAATATGTGAAGGTGATTTCTATGAAACACTACTCCTCTTAATAATGGACAAATTTTTACAGACCAAAATAAAGTATTTTATTGTGAAGACGCCCCCTTTCACCAATTGCTGTAATAAAAGTCCTAGGACTTTGCCCCACAGGCCATCGATATCCCAATGTATTTCTTATGAAGAAAAGATTTTGTTTACTTAAACAGAGAATAATTTGTATTAATTGCAGCTGTTTATAGTAAACAAATTATATACACAAGAGCGCTCGTTTTCAGTTTCAATAACTGGAGTAGAGCGATTGATTACATTATCTTGAAGTTAACTCTTTTAAGTCATCGGAAATTATGACTGTAATTCGTTTTGAAATAACGACTGTAATACTTTGCAACTGCTCGAATTCGAGCAACAGGTGCACTAGCTAAAATATATTTTACATAACTATGTGGTATGATTATTTTGCTCTTAAACTTTATCATAGGTTATTTATTCTCAATCTATTTCAATTATTATGTAACTGATTTTTCTTCCCGTTGCGAAGCACGGGTACAGCAGCTAGTAGCTGGTATATTATCAGAAAATGTGTTTGTCAATAAAGATTGATCTAATGACTTAAAGTATTAAACAATTTAAATCCTTATTTTTTGCTATCTACCACATATTGCCATCCACGCTATAATACAAGAAACAGAAACTGCAATATACAAAAATCTGAATATTTCACTATCATCGACACAGCATTTCCAAACTAAATAGGTTTGAACATTGACTATAGTCAAAAATTTGAGTTGGAAGGACTAATAGTGATGTCTTCAGATCCAATGGTTGAAAATGCTAACATTGAAAGTAAAATATTTAATGTTTTTTTTTTATTGATTTCTTTTAGCCACTGGACTCTTTTCTGTTTAGATAAGCCAGTGTCCTAACAAAGGCTCTTGCTCTATATCACATCCTAAAATAATCCCTGTGCCTATTAATAGAACCGAATTGTTGAAGTTGTGGCCTTTTAGAGTAAAATGAACGTTGTTGAATTCAGCCTCTGAGTGTGCTGATGAGAATAATTTTCGGTGAACACAGAATTGACTTCTTAAACAAGAAAAACTTAAAGTTCAATATCTACAAAAACTAAAACATCTTTTAAGTCACACATTACAATTAATTCAACTCTGTGGTTATAATATATTCAACCAACTATGATCTATTTAAAAATAAGAAATCGGCTACAGCTAGTCCATTTTGGGACATGTCTACTTCAGCTTCCAAAGACAACAATATAAAGAAATTCAACTGAAACATATTCCTACAATAGTTGTATAATTTTAACAAAATCAAACAGCTGATTGACAATCTCCGACATGTCTGTGCAGGTTACGTGGTGGCAGGCTCAAATGGAGAGGCTCCTTACCTCCGGCCTGAAGAGAGAGTTGAGATTGTGAAGCGAGTGAGACAAACTGTGGACCGGACAAAATCTGTCATCGGAGGAGCTACTCATGAATGTAAGGGAGAAACAACCACAAGTAGCCAAGGGTGGTTGTCTTACAAGACTAGTTGCACAAGTCTTGTTTTTTTGTTGTCACAAATTATATAGGCCTAACTGAAAAACTATTGCAGGGTCTTTCTAGCATATTTAGTACCAAACGATATACCAGCACTTCACAAAGGGAAGCGATGCAAAAAAGAATAATGTGTTTCTTTAGATCTGCTGGATGATAAAGTTACACACCTACCATGGATTTCAGCAACAAACCCCAATTTTACCCCATTGTGATTATAATTGTCACTTAGCACTGAACTACGATTAGAAATTACTAATGTAACTATTTATTTTAATTAGGGTGACAGTAACCATTTTACTATGAGCTGTAACATTAATGGATCATATTACGCTCAAAGGGCGGGTAGTAGGTGTTTTTGATGGGAGTTGATAGCTCCTGCGTGAAACTTGCCAATCAAGGGATTTCGGTTGAGGACCATTAAAACCTTCTCTTGCCCAATATGTTTTGTCACACTACCACCAACAAATATAGAGGTTATAAAAGACAACCCATACATACAATGACAGCACTGATTTTTTGAACTACTTATATTATGCTTTTATTGCTTATTGCTTGCTTATGCTCTATTGGTTGCTTATGCTCTATTGTTTACTGTGTAGTGGGATAAAAATATATTACAAGACAGATACATCCATCTTATATTGTAGCTTTAAAGTAAAACTTTTAACCCTTAAGTTCAAACAATATGACAACATAGTGAAGAGTGAAGGCAAAAACTGATTTTCAGCCACAAAAGGAGCTTGCGAACTGAGCAGAGCAATGGCCAATGTAGGAGCTGATGGGGTCCTTGTAATGCCTCCCTTTTACTTTAAGAAGAGAATGACTGTGAGTAATAACTTAAATATAGTTTCTATAGAATTCTATGGAAAAAATAAGCTAGTGTTAAATATTAACTACAGTGGTGGTACTCAATCACAACTACCTTAAATTATAGACAGTTTTTACATCTCTTTGAGGTGATAAAAATGTACAAATTCAATATGAAATTTTTGGATTCAATTAACATGATTTATAAAACTAATATCATGAGAAAGAAATATATATATTTTTTACTTTCAATGTTTGTAGTTGGGATTTTGGTAAGTTTGAAAACACATCATACCAGAAGGGCCGAGGGTTTAAATTTATGGAAATTAGTATAACCATCAGTGTGCAGAAGGTATGGATCATTGTGTGTTACTTTTAGAACGAGGCCATCTTGAACCACTACATGAAATTGGCCGATGAGTCACCCATCCCAATAGTGATCTACAACATGCCGTTTGTTACTGGGATAGACATTCCAATCAGTGTGTTGGCAAAACTGGCGCATCATCCTAACATCCGAGGCGTGAAGGATGGAGACGTAAGTCGATGTTAAAAATAGTCAACACCAACTATATGCTTACGAAAGAGTTAATTACATGTTTGAATCGTGTAACTGTTTAAAATACAAAGTATGGTAGTCTCTATTTCATTCAGATCTGTTTGGTTTTCATCCTTGCTTATAACGCATACATTTGCAAACAAGTGCCACTATTTAAAGACAATCACCTGTTGTCCAGTGATGTTCTCTTATGCTTGTTTGAATCATTAATACACCACAGACATGTTTCAGGATTGAACCGGTGACCTTTTGATAATAAGGTGAGCACTAATCACGCAACTATCCCTCTGTGGTTTAGCTCTAACAACTGTAAAAATATTACTGCAAAACATAAGCCGTAACAGTGACTTAGACAGCGTATTTGTAATTCTAAAGAACATTATGCACCTTATGTCTAAAGCACACATTATGTAGGCATGATTATAAGTATCCTGCATAATAAAGAACTTTAGTAGACAAAACATCTGTTCAGATGTATTAAATGCACAACTAAAAGACCGTTTTTTAGATAAAATATGTCTATTTGTAATGAATTTAAACAAAAGAAAACAATTGATTACGTGTCATAGGTACGTAAACTGGCTGGTATCGTCATGGCAACTAAAGGCATCGGTTTAGAGTTTGATGTTCTAGCAGGATCTGTTGGCTACCTACTTCCCGCTATCCAAGTTGGTAAGTTATTTCGTAGGTTAATGAAAACACTACACCTTATGGTTTTTTTTATATTTATGGATCAGCTGAAAAAAAATTGACGCTGAGGAACATGTCATTACATTTTGTACTGCTAACCCACTGGCACTAAGTAGTTCCTTAAATCTAAAATTTAACCAACGAGCGCTAGTAAGGACATGCGCTTATATAGTGGTGCTCTTCCCGGTCAGGCGACAGTGGCGTGTTAGTTAAGTTGGCTAAGGAGTTGCTCCAACCAGTGTAGCATTGAGGTCTTTCTACACGTGCGGGCTTTAAAGTCAAGCAACCCGTACGTGCAATCTTTTTTTCTCAAAGTCTCAAATTTTAACAACATAAAATGACTCGTTTGTAAACTATTGCTTCGTCGTTATGCAATCAAAGAGTTTTTTTAAAGTCAAATTTCCTATCAAATAAGCAACATTTAATCCACCAACACCAGGCTTACATGTTTCAATTACATTATTCTTAATCTTAAGCTAACTCTGTATGGTTACACATTTAATGATGTTAATATGCTTTTAGCTGACGTTCTTAACGGATTATTTTTTTAAATTATTTTTTAATTATTACTTAATTATTTTTAACTCCAAGGATAGAATAAACCACGAATACTAGAAAAATACCGGAATGGATCATAAACATAAACAAATGACGTTTTTGGCCCGAAAATAAACATGATTTAGCATTGCTTAAATGGAACTGCCAAATCATATGTTAATGCTATTAGTATAGGATTCGGGCCAACAACGTTATTTGTTTATGTTTATGATCCATACCAGGTCTTTTCTAGTACTCGTGGAATAAACAATTTGAGAACATATGTTGTTAAATTTTCGTTATTGGAAACGAAAAATTCTTCCAGCTTTATGACAAACAATTTGATTTAGTTTTACTAGTTATTTTAGATATAATTTTTTATTTTTGAAACAGGTTGTTCCGGTGGAATCAACGGCCTCGCCGGAGCGCTTGGTAAACAATGCTGCGACCTTTACACCCTCAGCAGAGAACGCAAATGGGAGGAAGCTCTCAAACTACACCTTCAACTAACAAGGATTGACACATTGGTAAATTTATAGCTAAATCTAAGTCCAAACAATTTATTGATGAAAGTACATTTACCTTAAAAACAGTCCGAGCTATGAGAACAGGACGGTAGAATAATTTCGGTAAAAAAGGCACCCTTTTATTCGGTCTGTGGTTTAAATTGTCATCCCGAAATGCTCTTGACCAGTTTCATTGCAGATTGTAGGGCAACATTTTCAAAATTTGAGACACATAAAAAAAGACTACTTACAACAGGACACAAAACACGAACAATTTTTAACACAAAATAAAGAAAAATAATCATCATAACAAATGTCCCCAACAGCAGTGGTATAGGTGGGGAGCGAGCTGGTCTAGTAGTAGTGTGCAGGGCTTCGGATCACAATGTCCCTGGGTCAAATTCCGCCAATCACCAATGGATTTTATCCCAGAGATAATGCCTCAACCCACTAGGTCTAGCCTGAAGTTATGTGTAAAACAGTTCCGGACTAGAACCTAGTGTTCTAGGATGTGAAAGTGGGACAAAAAAACCAAATAAAAACAGCAGCGGTAGATTAGCTTGCCAATCATGTGCTTGCAACAAAAATTTTGACTAAAAAAGCCAAAATTTCTTTTAAGGTTATTTTTCTGATCACAATTAATTTACCTTAGCTTGGTTACACAAAAGACCTGTATGAGGCAGAGGTGACATTCTAAGGCTAGGGACACAGTTTACTCCTGCCCAATAAACCCATCTTAGTTTACCTGTTTGTTTACTTAGCTCGATTAATATTTAATTACTGACAGGAATGTGTTTGCTTATGTTCCAGCTCATGTCAGATCTAGGAGTCCCGGGACTGAAGGCAGCCATGGACATAATGGGACTGTACGGAGGACCTTGCAGGGAACCTATGCTGCCTTCCTCAGTGGAGGATATTGAACGGATCAAGTCTACACTTAAACAGGACAATCTTATATAGGCATCAGGCATGAACTGCTGCTCAAAAGGATTAATATCACTCAGTGTGTTCAATCAAATTGTTAATTTCAAAACGTTATCATTATATTTATTATTTTAAATCAATGTTTGCCTATATCATACAAAATGTATGAGTTAAAAATAACTAGGCCTAAGCCCTGTTGCTTAGTGGGATGATACAGATTGTATCATAAATTTTTTAAAGACTGACTATAAGTGTTTAAATTTCATACATTTATCCAAAGAAATAAATTTTATATTTATTTGGACTGTTAATTTATTTTCTACCAGAAAAATATTGAGATTTACTTCATTACTTATATTGTGTTAACTGTCATGATAGGTGAAATTCCTAATATTTTAATTCTGCATCATAGCCAAAACAAAACCTTATAGTTTATGGGATTAGTTTGGTAAATGTTTAGTGTCTCACTTTCCAGTGTAAAAAAACAGGTTTATATGATGTATACAGTTTACAACACAGAAATGTAATTTCAGCTCCAAAGCCCTAGGTTCAAGTCCCTGATCACCAATGGCCTTTGCTATATTTCTGTGTCCATCTACACCATTGACATTTTAAACCTCCAAACTCTGGTCTTGTTACTATCTAATGGTACCCTATTGTTAGATAGCATCATTCACTTATGATATCCCAAAAGTAATCACATATGGGTCCAATAATGATCTTGCTTGGAATCAAATCAGTGACCTTCAGATTTGAAGGCGAGGACTACAAAACAGTTACCCATACAATCATATCCATTGTAGCTAAGTAATAATCTCTTTCTACGTCTAGCTTAAGCAGCGTGTGAAACGGTTCCTAAAAAATAAAAATACTCTGACACTTTGAACTAATCAAAAATAGCTGGGAAGAACACACATATACATATTGAACTTCAACACAATAATTTATTGGGTAACGTACGAAAATTTACTTACTAACACAACACAAATAAATAGCCTATGCTCTGTGGCAGTTCAGTTGTCCAGCTGTTGCTTGCTCTGGTGATACAGAGAGTCTGGGGTGGGTGTAGCCCCTGTCAGCTCCTGCTCTACGCCAGACAAGGCCCACTGATGGTCCAGGATCTCCAACGCCTCCCACTCTGCCTTGAATGCTGCCTTGGGATCCAGCGGCATAGCCATGGCCGCCCCTGACATCTGCTCTTGTATGTGACGAGACTGGTCTGCAGCTAAAAAGACAAATGTGTTTCAGTATTAACTAGTAGAGATGGGGACACAAGGCATATTTTAATCTGACTATTAATCGGAGCTATTTTATTTAGCCAGCATTTATCAAAAGCCCAACTATTAAAAACAGCTAAAGGCGGCTCCAGACATGCGCCATTCGCCAAGCACCGAGCAGCGACTCGCCAAACACGAGTAGTGTGTATAAGTGTTAGTCTAGCATAAACTTGTGCTACTTGGTTCTCGTTCATTGTCGGTATCTTTGCACACATCAAAGTGAACGAATAGTTGCTATTCCAGAAACAAACTACAGTTGCTCAATAACCAACGCATGTTTGTAGACTTATTTAGTAAATTGGCGAACAGCAAGACAATTAGATCGACTGAACATCAAATATTTGGTGCTTGGCGATAGGCGCATGTCTCGAGCCGCCTCAAGTCTAGTCCCAAACTATTTAAAAAATTATTATGACATTTCTCAGGATCAAACCGGCAACCTTTTGATTGCCATGCGAGCACTATAACCACTCAGTTATCCAGCTATAATACTATTCAGTATTTATGTGTAAATACAAAGAGTGTTTGTTGTCAAATAGTAAAATGTTTAGTTTACCCACATTTTGAAAATATATCTATACCTGTGTACAAATGGTAATCAAGGTTAAAAATTCAATTGTACATTCAAATCATGGTGGAAGGAAAATGCATAGGTGTGCTATTCCCGTCATATGCTGACGTCACCCAGATTGCAAATAAAAAATCTGCTGATTGTATTGCCATATAAGTATTTGTTTTGATTTGACTGTTATTGTTTTTATAACTTTTCTAAATGGTAAAATGGTGTTTACAATCTGAGTAATGTCAGCATATGACGGTAATAGAACACCTATGTATTTTCCTTCCACCATGCATTCAAATCATATAAATGTAGTGTTTAATTAATTTGGGCAATAATCGATGACAATTTGTCATTGCATCAAATGCTATGTCATTTAAGGGATTATGCTGTCATTTTCCACCCTGATTAGTAATAAAAGTGTCCACGACGTTTCAAGACCTGGAATCTGATCCAAGTCAGGTGAGGAGATACCTAATATACTTCGTAGCTTTGGTTGGGTATTGTGTAGGCCTACTAATTTTGCTGTTGTGTTTGGTACTTTCCCATTTCAGGATGATAACAGATTCTAGATACCAAAACATCGCAAAAACTTTTTATTTTACTAATCATGATGGAATGAAAAAAAACCACTTTTGCTCTCTTGACCAAAGTATTACAAACTTGTAGTACTATGAATGGATAAAGTTGTATTTTGTGCATTTATCTTGTGCATAAATATGTACACATAGTATTTACACATGATTTTATGGTTTGGTAAAATTAGGTGTTTTTAACTTACCATTGTTCTCGCCAAGTACTAAAGTGTAGATACTGCGTAATCCGAACACATTGAGGAAGTACCATGAAGCAGACGACACCCAGGCTGCGTCAAGAGACTGCAGTTCCACCCCTCTCTGCAGCATGGGCTTGAACCGTAGAGTCAAAGGGAACGGAACTTTGGCTGCAGACAAACAGGAATTTTATTAGGACAAAGTTTCACTGCAGGGTAGAGTTTACCACATTATATTTTTAAGTTGCAGCAGTAGTGTTGTATCGGTAGGCCTAGACTATATTTTAAATGTATTGGGGATCACGGCTTCAAAATAGAAATAGCAAGTGGTTTCAATAGAAAAAACTTTAGATATGAATTGGTTTAATAACAAAGAAGGGACCTTTATTTTATATTTTAAAGTTAAGCTACAGTACGTGGAGTTGTGTAATTGGTAATGATGGTTTAAAGATCTTCAAAATCTAAATCTTTAAAACATGAATAGTTGGAGGTTTCAATAGAAAACAAACTTCACTCCTTAAATTGGTTTGATAACCCAGAAACAAAAAATGGGAATGAATACCATAAATAATTTGAATAGGCTTGCCATGCAAATTAATACTTGTTACAGCTAATTTAGGTTAGATAATCAAAACTCTACCGTAATAAGTTCTTTGGGTTTGTCACAAAGAACCATTGAAATAATAAACTAGGTATTGTATTATTGTAATTATTAATTATAAAAAAAAACCAAATTCAAAACTAATTGTTGAGGGTGTAGGCCTACTTACTGGTGACGAACCCCGAGAACATCCAGTTAATCCAACCACCAATGAGGATCATAGGTAACACGTTGGTAACATTGCCCTTTAACATGTCTGTCATCATGCTGGGGTCAGTCATCGGATTCTGGGTTACAGCAGCTCGCTTCTGTGTCTTGAAATAACCTAATAGTTTATGAAAATTAGCAGTTTCTTGTTGATCAAAGTGGTCAGTCGCTTACATATCACATAAGTTCCCCTACCCTATATGTTATTATAGGTACATTTTTCTTTTGTCAGTATTATAAGAGATTGTAGGCCTAACGATTAGTTTTAATATTTATTTGTATTCAGTCATAATGATTGCTATTTATAACTGTTAATTATGTTAAAGTACCTTGATACTCTTGTTAGATCATTTTACTTTTAATACTTTTTCAATGAAATAGCATAGACAAATAGAATAAATATAGACTGTCAAAGGAAGATTTCACGATGTGCCGCTAGAGCGTGCTCAGGGTTCGATTCAGTGCAGTCGTCGGCTCCTACCCATATACTACCAGAGATATATTGCAGATATTCCATTAGATATTTGAATATCAATGCCATATATATGTATTAAATTGTAAAATGGTATAATGATTGAGATAAATAACAGTACGGTTAGCCACTGCTCAATGACCATAATTTTTTCCGATTTCCTCTTAAATAATCTTGCGATCTTCGTATTAAAATGTTAGTGTAAGTATTCTGCTACTTAGCTCCTATTAGGCTAACATAATAATTATGTCAATTTCAATTACCTATATCTGATAGATTTAGTTATCATAGTCTCGTTTGTGGGCCTTAACAAATGTATTTTTTTTTTATATTCAGGCTAACTTACATGAAAAGATAAGTAATTCCTGCCTTAAAATGGATTAGGATAAGTAAACAATAGACCGGTAGATGAACATTAGAGTATTTAAATACAGCGGACTTAAAAAAAAAAATGTGATTATTTTACCTGTTTCCTCATTATTAAAGTAGTGACGCCTCATTTGGAATGACTGTCTTGTTAGATATTTCCCATTCTCTCGTAGTAGACGAGCTCTGATCATTACTTGGCTGCAAATCAGTGACAATCATGTAATTTAAGGTCAGATGTGCTATTTAGAAGTAGGCTATACTAGATTGCTACTGAGCTCTTAAGCACCTAGACTATAGAGAGTTTAAGTTTAGGCCTATAGTAAAGGTTTACTCAATAGTCTGTGTCTTAAGTGTCACATTATGAAAGTAGGCTACTTGGAATTTAGATGTAATTTGTCTAACGCGATGTGCAGTTTCCAAATTCTGAGAATTTAGCTGTTGTATCATTGAAAGTGTGAAGTCATTTGTAAACCAGGCTTATACAGTAAAACCTCACTAACTCGACAGTTTGTGGACCCAGAGGTTGTCGAGTTATCCACAGCATTAACATTTTTAATGGGTTTTATTTATAAATGAATACATAACAGACTAATTATGATATGAAAATGTATTTATCACCAACTCTACTAACAAAACCGAATACCCGAAAACGCCAAATAAAAAAGATCAATAAAAAGTCCTGCTTCTCCTGTATAGATTGCGAAAGGTTCCGTGCGACAGGTTAGCTAGTTACAAATTATTATACAAAACAGTTCACTTTTTAGTTATTCAATAAAAATAGTTTACAACTTATCCAGTGTGTGAATTTAACAGTACAATTAATACCAGGCTACCAGTTCGGGTCACAACAAAAATGTATAACTTAGACTACATGAGTACCGGTATTTTTACATATTTAGTAGGCTAAACAGTCTTCAAAGAAATGTTGAATATACAACAACTAAAACTAAATGTTCTGAAAAAATTACTTTGAAAGTCTTTGAACAAAATAGAAAGACAAAGCTAGACGTGCGCCCTGTCAGCCGTTGACTGTCGAGTTAGAGAGGTTTTACTAGGCCTATACAGTATACCCATATCTATCCCATGCTATTCCAGTCTGGAATAAGTTAAGAATGAAGCGTGTTCATGCAGCGTGTCCCCAAAGATGTATTCCGTATAAGACGTGGCAATCAAAAATAGCATGGTAGGTACAGTACACCAGAACAAGGTAGGAACCTGTAACGCACTTCTTAAATCTCCTAAGTAGAAAAATGACACGAGCCTGCTTAGTGCAGACATGTTCAACATGATTGCTCCAGTCCAGTGTTGGGTTAAGGTAGGACTCTGTTCTGCTCTCTTGTTCGCCAGCTGCTCGAATATGCCTGCCCAGTTTGGTCTCCTCATTTAATCGGCCAGATAAACCAGCTTGAGAGCATCCAGAGGAAATTTTTGAGACTGGTTGGAGTTCGCCAGGGTCTACAGTATCGGGATGTGCCTGTGGCTCAAATGCAGGAAAACCTAAATCTCCATGATCTTCGGGCGAGGCGCTGTGCATCTGATATGGTCTTCCTCTCCAAGCTCGTAACCGGGTTGATTGATTGTCCTGCCTTGCTGTCTGAAGTAGACATTCGTGTTCCATCTGGTACAAGATCCCAGGATCTATTCGGAAGGAGGCACTATGCACGTGGATACCAGTACCATGGACCCCTTGCAAGGATGCTTCGAAATGGGAATGTCTTCTGTGCCACTTTCGACATCTTCACAGACAGCCAAAAGACAATCCGGAAGAGGGTACTGGCTGACTTCCACCGCTCATCATAGTGCCACCCAAAATCACTGTTATTATATTTGTTTCAAACCAATGAATGTTTTCTCTCTTTTTACAAATCTTGTTTTCTTTGTTATTGTTGAAATTATATTTACTGTTATTGTTGAAATTCATATATTTATTGTTATTGTTAAAACTCATATATTTACTGTTATTGTTTAAACTCATATATTTATTGTTTGTTGTTCATTTATATTTTACAACATATTACAACATATTGTAAATTGGTTCTTGACCGTTGGAAGGTAAAAAAAAAAAAACCTAGGGTCAACCGGGGCTAATATGAACAAAAAAAGTAAACTTTTGACATTAACTCAAAAATGGTAAATGACAGAAGAAAAGAAAAAATAGTAGTGTATACAGCTCTTTTAGCTGAATCTATTTATTTACTAACAAAAACCATAAATGTAACCATTATTTAAAAAAAAATTAAAAACCACTGTTCACATTAGCCCCGCTAAAAGGGGCTAATGTGAACAGCCCATGGGGCTAATGTGAACACTCTTAATAACTCAGTTATTTACAACACTAGGCATAGGTGGGGGCTGTTGTGAACAAGCCTAGGGTCTAGTCTACCAGTTGCAATAAGTCTCAATATTTTATCTTAAATAGTTTTTGAGATATGAAGGTATCTTTGGAGAGCCGCGGGTCGCCCTACGGTAACCCTTTTTTTTTAAACCATTTATAAATATTATACAGGGCTAATAATAAGATATAAACAAGAAAAAAATTATCTGTCAACATACCTGAGTATTTATTAAAAATTTCTTCCACATACAAATTGTTTAAAGCACTTAAAAAAACAATAGCCTAATTTAAGACAATGCAAATTGTTCGTTTAGGCAAATGGCACTTTTAGACCTATTAGGTAAATATAAAAATGTGGGCTAGGCCTATTCAACACCTTAACTGTTGTCTTTGTAAAATTAAAACTGTTTTATCACTGTAAGGCCTTCAAAGAAGTTTATTGAGGAACTTACGCCTCAAAAACTTCGACAATTTTGTCGAAGACATACTTAAATGTCTATCACTGGTTCCACATACATTAGGGGCTGGAAGTTTCCCCAAAATGTCAGTGGTAGAAACAATAAATATATCATCTTCTTTTTTCAGGAATGATTTTTTTTCCTCATCAGAGGATTTAAATCCCATCACTTCGATCTCCCCGTCAGCCAGTGTTTTTAACACTGTAGCGACATAGCGGAAGGTGGTACTGTTCACAATAGCCCCCATTCACTGTTCACATTAGCCCCCCAACTTTGAAAGCTTATAACTTTGGCTGTTATTAATATATTTTAACTTTGGGAAAAGAAAAATAATCCCCAATTCTTATTTAACAAAATTCAGGCTTAAGATTATTCCTACAGCCAATGTAAAAATTGTTATAACAAAAGTTTTCACTTTGCGCGGAAAAGTTTTTTGGGCGGAAAAAAAGTGTTTTAAAAAAGTATTTTTTTAAAGTACCTAAAAGTCAAATTTGAAGTTTTCTCATTATGGACACAAAAAATACAATAAAGTTCCTTTCTAATTATATTTTTTTCATGATTAAAAATCCCAGATAAATGACTTTTTAAGTCATTGTTCATATTAGCCCCAATATTTTGGTGTGTTCATATTAGCCCCGGTTGACCCTAATAAGTTAGTCTAACACTCACACCGATATTGTTTGGGGTGCGTGACAGAGTGCATATCATCCAGTTTGTCTTGGCCTCATTTAGCTGTGCGCAGTTTGCTTGCCCGGAACCAATGCTCCACATCTTTCAGATTATTTTTCGTTTGCTTTGCAGCAAGGATCGGTGTTTTTCCTCTGATATACAAGGTAGTATCGTGTAGGCCTAGATATCTTTTAGTCAACGTAAATATTTCATTATAACAGTTTTTGACGTAGCTAATGCATTTTTTGTTGATTAGGGCTTATGACTTAGGCTGATAAAGACTTTGTAGCCTAACGTTAAAAAATGCTCGTCAAGACTTAACTTTGATTACTGTGATGAACCTGGGTAATTGTACTAGCCTGAGCCTACCCTAATAGGTCTAGATTATTCGGACTAAAATACACACCTAGGTGGTGTCCCCATCTCATTTGTAATTGGACATTTTCCCTCTTAAGTTACTGGCTTGTAAGACGTTTAATAGACTGCCAGAGAACATTAAGAACCTGGAGCCGAAACTGTTCAAAAAGAAGTTAAAGCTGTGGGGTTGCCAACAGAGCTTCTATTTCTTGGAGGATTATATGGATGTCAAGTTGATTTTTAAATTACTTTATGACGCCTGACGCTCAAGTTATAATACTAGGCTAGGCTACATTGCAAATTTGAGGTTAGGAAAATCATGTTATAAATTCTTACCTGTCTTGTAGTTGTTGAAGCTCTACTTTCTTTTGAGACGCAAGTAGTAGAGAAATATAATGTCGCACTATTCCTACGAGAAAAGTGATAACAACAATTGGCCAAAATACCCATAATCTAATGGCAGGATCTAGAAGTAATTCAGCCATTTTCTGTCTGTCTGTTTACTTACACACACAGCGACAGCGACAGCACGCACGCACACAGCCGAGCAGTGTTGCCACCGCGTTGTTGCGATTTTACCCTAAAGGCGGGCTAAAATTACCCTAAATTACCCTAAATCTACTTTGAGTTACCCTAAAAATTACCCTAAATGTTAATATTTGTGTTTAATGCTATAAAACATTGTTAAAATCATATAAATCTTACATAAGGTGGTTAATTATACTAAATGAAGTTCCAATATCAATCAATTTACGTAAAATTATACTCGATTCTAAAAACCCACCCGAATGAAGAACAAAATGTTGATTTTGACAGCCTATCGACTATCGTATAGCGAAAAAATCGAATCAAGAACTGTCGTATTTTTTTACTGTATCGACCCATTACTACTGTTTTTGAACAATCATATCTTTAAAATACAGTACGGTACCACCAAAGCTTTAATCTAAGTAGTAATTTCTTGACACAATTTGTAAAATAATCCAGCAATTCAATCACATAATTAAATATCAAACCCAGTAATGAATAATATTTCATATTTTATTAGGCCTATAATGTGTTATAGAATCGAATACATTCTAAAACAGATAATTCCCAACTATTGATAAGATCGATTAGGATAACTTTTTATTATGAAAAATTCATCATAGCAATCGATTTAAACCGGTTGAATCGAATATGATGGTTTGGCCATAGTATGTAATGAACGTTTTTTTGCCAAATTTTGAAGTTTTTTTCATTTTTTTAGCAAAGTTTCCATTGTTATGCTAACTTATAGTTTTACCCTAAAATTACCCTAAATCTACTATTACCCTAAACTTTACCCTAAGACCAGTAAATTACCCTAAAAAAGGGTAATTACCCTAAAAGTGGCAACACTGCAGCCGAGCCAAAGCCACAGCCATTTTGAGTGTGGACTTGTTGGTCTTCCCTTCACCTTTGCGTTCAGTCACGAATACTATAACAGAAACGGCATGGATGGTATCTATCTATCTATCTATATATTAATAGGCAAGCATGTTTCTTTAAAACCTTTTTTCTCACCTCGTGTGTATCGTAGGGTAAATCTACGCATACCGTTAGAAAGCTATTTTCCTGTAGGTGGGCAGAATCCATTTATAAATTAAAATAGGCTCACAAATAAGCACAAAAAATGAATTTGAAATTTTTAAAAATTAACATGGGTCTTATGGGTTGCTATGGTGATGACGAAATAACAACAAAATATAAACAGAAAATCAAAACAAATGGAAGACATTCCAATCACATGTTTTATTTACAGTGTGGGGTGAAAATAGAGAAGTTTGCACAAAACATACTTTTGGTCGATTTTTCGACCACGGGGCGTGCTCTCGTATATATAATTCCGTAAGTCAAATTTTTGTAAAGAAATTGTGAGTGACTGGATGGCCGTAGAAGGATGGGAGGGGTCTTATTTTAAAGGTCTTGACGTGAATTTTAAGGGAAAACTATTCATTTTTCTTATTGTTTTACCATAAATTCGCAACAGAATAAAACTTTTCCCATTAAAACAACATGGGGTTTAATTTGTTTACATCTTTTGAAATTAAAACAGCTGTGCCACAGATTTGAAAACAGTGATCAATACACGCATTTGGTTTACTTTTAGCCAGTCAACTATGAAATGTATACTTTAGCAATACATTAGAAGTTGTTTTTGTTTTGTTTTAATGGCAATTGTAATAAAATTTTTTTGAAGTTATGCGTGTTTTATATGACAACTAAGCTGCTTAGTAAGTTACATAAGTTACCCAGAACTTCGTGGCCGAGTTTAAGAAGCCTTAACTTGCTTATTAATTCAGTAATTTTTAAGTTAACTTAGGCACGCACTTGGCCAATGGCCTGAACATGTGCATGGCCCGCTATTGCTTAGAGCCTAAATGGTTGAGGTACCTACCTACATTAGTTTTGCCATATAACTTAACTCAGCTCTATAACATCCTTCCCGGAATTTCATCACAGCTATCTAGTTTTCATTCACACAGTAGGCCTGTTTTATAAATAAGAATATGACCTATTTATAAGATTGAGTTATAACTTAAAAACCCTTCTTTGTTGGTTGCCTTGTGTTTTTTATGTCCAGGTCACTAATGCGCTTTTGGCCACAGGTGGGGCATCCTCAGAGGGCTACTGGTGCACTACTGGTACAATAAAAATACAAAACTACTTTATACCTACTAGAAATTAAAAAAACAATAAATATTATAGGCTACCATTTACAATAAGTACCAGTAAATTGAAAAAGGTTCTTTAAACTGCTCGACTTAATTGACTAAACTATAGATACAGTATGAGATTTTTAGGAGCTAGCAGGCAGACAAGCCTCTTATACTGGGTTCAAATAACTTAATTTGTTTTTAGCGAATTTCCCATAGGGAATAAGCTATTACCATAGTAGGCCTACTCATGGTAAGACCTGGACACAGGACCGATTTTTTTCTTCGTTTTGATTTCCCTAGAGGCCAAAAACACCATCCGTTTAGATTCATATATATATTCACTAGCTGTACCCGCGGGCTTCGCCCCGTTTAACTTCATAAGTATTCGCATGGCTCATTCACGTCTTTGTAAATTAAACATATGCTCTTACTAATATTATAAATCTGAAAGTTTGTGAGTTTGTGTGTATGTTTGTGTGTGTGTTTGTGTGTGTGTTTGTGTGTGTGTTGCTCAATCACGCATAAACTACTGGACGGATTGGGCTGAAATTTGGCATGATGATAGCTCACATTCCCGATTAACATTAAAGCATATTCTTATCTCAAAAACCCTTTCGGGCTCCGCCCCAGTGGCTCTGTAGTTCCCCATGTTAATCTTATGATTTTTCATATTTAAAAGGAATTAATGAATCTTAACAGCTGTTTCAATTAAACAAGTTGGTTCTGTTCTATGATGTTCAATAGCATAAAAGTTAAAAGGATTACCAACAGGGTGCAGCACAATTAATTTTTTTTAATATATGACAACAGCTAATTTCCAACCAAAAGGTGAGTGAGCGTAGCGAACGAACTTCAACCTGGAGGCGAGTTAGCGTAGCGAACGAGCTAACCTGAAGGCAAGTGAGCGCAGCGAACGAGCTCCAACCTAAAGGTGAGTGAGCGTAGCGAACGAACTTCAACCAGGGCGTGAATGAGCCATGCGAATACTTATGAAGTTAAACGGGGCGAAGCCCGCGGGTACAGCTAGTACTATAATAAAACTGAAATATTGAAGATTAGTCGGAAAAACGTCTGCATTCTTTGTTTATATTTAAATCATATACTCAAGTTTCATTTTTTCATGCTTTTACGTTATTGTCGTGTTAAAGGAATAAACGACATAGAATAAATATTCTGTATAAATAATCAAAGAGTCGAAATTAAATCTAACTTCTGTTTTGTTTTTATTTTTAAATCATATGTTCAAGTTTTTTTTAAATGATGTTGTTTTCTTTATATTTCTACACATTTTAAGGTTAAGGTTGTGTAAATATATACAAATTCCTTCGTTAGCTGAAATTCTATTAGAAAATCCATTTGCACAAATTTACAAAAGAGCTTCGGAAGAAATGGTTGTACAAGGTGACAGTGAATTAGAACTTAGGTTTGTAGACAGGATAAATATGGATCGTCGTAGGTATAATAAGCCTACTGCAGATGAAATTGCAGGTGTCTTCAATTCATCTGAAGGCGAACCTCCAATGAATTTTTAAAATTCCAAACAGGGAAGCTTTTATTTATCCTCATTAACCACAAGACCATAGCTGCCTTAGTAAACCAGTATTTATTCACAAACAATGATATGTTTGCTGCCTTTTCATGTTAAACCACTGGAGTGATTCAAATTATTTATTGAAAATGACATCAACAAAAGCAAACAAAGAAGAACAACAAACTGGTTTTTACACAAAAGATAAGGTGTAGGGATGCCTATTCTGACACATAGATAATGTTATTCTGAGTTTGTTTAAATACCGGTATTGCAAAAAGTTGTTTTACATTTGAGCTTTTTAGGGACTTATGTCCCTACAAGCCACTAGTGGATCATATAAACTTACTAGCTGTACCCGCGGGCTTTGCCCCGTTTAACTTCACAAGTAGGCTCGTTCGCATGGCTCAATAACGTCCTGGTTGAAGTTAGTTCACTACGCTCACTCACCTTTAGGTTGGAGCTCGTTCGCTCCGCTCACTTGCCTTTTGGTTGCAAATTGGCTGTAGTCATAAATTTAAGAAAATAATAGTGCTGCACCCTGTTGGTAATCCTTGTAACTTTAATGCTATTGAACTTCATGGAACAGAACCAACTTGTTTAATTGAAACAGCTGTTAAGAAATTCCTTTTAAATATGAAAAATCATAAGGTTAACATGGGAAACTCCAGAGCCATTGGGGCGGAGCCCGAAAGCCCGATCAGAATAAAAACTACTTAGTTTTCCTATTTAATGCCCAAAGAATCGGTGTACCGAATTTCAGCCTTCTAGGTAAATGGGAAGTGGGAGAATTAGTGATGAGTGAGTGAGTGAGTCAGTCAGTCAGTGAGGGCTTTGCCTTTTATATATTTAGATAAGTTCATACAAACAAATTATGCAACTGGCCCGAATCATATACTAATAACATTAACATATGGTCTGGACAGTTCCATTTAAATATTTTTAAATAATGTTTTCTTTTGGGCCAGTGACATCAATTATTTATGTTTATGATCCATACCGCAGACTGTTTTTGTTCTAATAGTCACGAGTCCATTGTATGATCCCGTATACCAGAGCGAGAAAATCCATTTCAACCACTAAGCTAGAATAGAAATACATGGAGTAACACTATGCTATCAAGACAATGAAAGTACAATTTTGTTATGCTGTACCAACTAGGGATAACAGCCGTGGCTATGAATCGCTCACTAGCCCATGTCTTTACTTTATGTATGTACAATACCACAATCCCAAACAAAGTTCAAAGTTTAAATGCATGAGGTACAATCACTGAGCTAGATGTACAACACCACTGAATGTAGCA